ATGAACCTCATTCTGCAACGATACAACAATCTCATGCAAAGCGGCTACCTCATCACGTAAAGTAGATACCTCGCCATGTAAAGCACCATTGTCATCGCGTAAAACCTCTACCTCACCACGTAAAGATCGTACCTCATCACGCCATACACCATTGTCTTCACGTAAAGTACCGACCTCCTCACGCAAAACATTGACCTCATCACATAACTCCCCTAACTCATCCCGTGGAGGTGAAGAACAGGGAGATAAATGTCGCGGCATCTTTGTCGGTCGCCTATCATGAGGTGATGATGGAGAAGAGGCTCGATGATGTGATTGAATAGGTGATGACTCTCGTTGTGGAGGTGTATAATCGGCTCGATCAGGTGATGGCTCTGGGTGAGGTAATGGCTCTCGAAGTGGGGGCTGCTCTTCATATGTGCCATCAAAAAAATGCTTACCATCTTGCCACCAATTAGTGGCAAGCTCAGCCTCTGTGGGTGCCAGCCTCTGTAATAGATAGTTAGCCTCCTAACAATATAAAAACTCAAACAAAGTTAAACGTCTACTAGTAATAACTTGTTTATATATGGTATTATTTGTGTTAACTTACATCATTCATCATCGTATATGATAGTAACTCTTCCCAATCCAACAGTCGGATCCTCCTCCAGGAAATAACCCTAGGAATATCATTTGAATTTTTAATTGCATATATCCGCATGCTGGGAAAAGCCTCAAATATCCAAATCTACAAACAATATAATACACAAACATTAGTAATTGTTAAATAATTAATTATAATTTTGGAAACATTATATAGAAATTCTTACCCTAAAAGCCCAAATAAAGTCTGCCAAAGTGTATTTGGAACCATGGCTACGCAAACTTTTTCGGTCCTCAAAGGCAGACAACAACTTTTTCCAGGTAGCTTTCCATAGATATGAACCCCACGGAAACTGGTTCCATGCATTTAGGTCATCTACCAATAATATTAGGTCCTCAGAAATAGGTTGTCTGGCCTCTTTGCCTAAAAAGCTGGCATGCAAAAGTAATAAATGGCATACTCGGACAACATCGAGGTCATCCATCCGAGTAAAACTATCTTTAACAAATAATCTCTTCAAGTCGTCGACGTGTAAACTTGGCTTCGCCTTTGCCAGCTCAGGAAAAACTCGAGATAACCATGATGGGCGGGCGATATGACTAGTGTACCGACCTACATCATCGTGTCCGAAGCGTAGACCAGTGGTTAAGCAAAACTCCTCCCGCCCAAAACAAGTATACGCGTGGAGGAAAATGAAACCTTATCTTTTCATCACCACGTTGTATCCTCTTGGGTAGATCGTTAGTCATGGTCTGAAGAAACAAATGTGTCAACATAGCATCTCCACCCGAATGTTGTACTTTCAGCCATGGCCCGAAGTAAGTATCCTCAAACAATTTTCTTTGTACATGTGTAAGCGTTGACGCAATTGTAGTGGCTAGGCTTAATTTATTCCTTAAGGTCAATGAAGCCGAAAAAAAATTCTACAAAAACAATAAACATACCAAGTTAGATATACCAAAAACTACAAATTATACACTATAAACAGACATGATATTAAACAGTGAAAACAAAGCCAAATATGTTTCAAACTTGCACGGTATTCACCCAAGTCATTATTCTATCATAGTTCACAAAATGCATCAGATAACATTGTGAAGTTAGTATTTGTCTTTGTTTTTTGGTTGAAGTAATGCAATTCATTCAAGTTTCAATTTGCAGAAGAAGAATAGTTTCAAATAGTCTTATGCAAATTGAAACTTGAATGAATTGCATTACTTCAACCAAAATACAAAACAAAGACAAATACTAACTTCACAGGGTTAAAGACTAAACAATTTAGCAGTATTGGCAGCAACCGAATGAATTTACTAAGCAATCTAAGTGAAATGGTTAATCTATTACTGAAATTATCAATAAATTTATTATCAATTTAAATATGAAAAATCTAATAATTATACAAAAATTTCAAAATAAAAATAATTAAAAAACTAACCCTCGGTGGTTGATTTTTCATTTCTGACCGTGAATGGTTGTGAGGGTGGCTCTGAGAGATGGAGATAGACGGATTTCGCCGGAGATGGGGACGGATTTCGTCGGAGATGAGGACAGATGTTGCCGTAAAGAGTGAGAGATGGAGATGAGATTGAGTTGTGATTTAGGGTTTTAGGTTATGATTTACGATTATATTGTTTACATTTGTGTTGCGAAATAAATATTGTGTTTCGAATTCGAAAATAAAATTCGCGTTGCGAAAATAAACGCGCTTTGCGAATTTGACTTCTGTGTTGAGAAATTGACTTCTGTGTTGCAAATTTGGAAACTGAGTTGCGAAATTGGAGTTCGCGTTGCGAATTTGTTGGTCATTTTCGCAAATTCAAAAAAAATTGATTAAAATCGTATATTATAAGGCATTTTCGGTCACTGAAGTTATTTTCTCGTATGTTTATTATTCAATTTTGTACATGAATTTCGCATTACATTAAAAATATTTTTCAAATATGTTGATTTGATATTTAAACAACATATTATATTTTTGATGTGTCATTGACTAGTTGAAATGATAACATCTTTAAACACCATCTGTCACAATCTAATTGATGATTGACATATCTTATCAACTCCAAATATCAATTTGAAAAAAATGATTAAATTCAGTTAACAATTTGTATAACAAACTTATACTGTAAAATAAATTATTTTAGATTTAAGAAATTAAAGCATGTGCCAAATTTTAATTGCGTGCTTTGTTAATATCTTTAATTTATAGTTTATTAAATTAGTTTTGCTATCGATTATTTTTCTTTATAAAAAAGCTTAAGAATAAGATTTTTGATTTTAAAGTTACATACAAATTTTCATCTAAACGTGATCACCAAAGCTAAAAGCTGCCTTATCTATGATAATTTGGTGGGCATTGACAATGGGTGACTTTGCATGAGTGGCACATATGTGATTCATGGTTCAAGCATATGAAGCCTGAAAGCTTAAAAACAAGAACAATGCTAAGGACTAATAGTACTTGGATTTTAGCAACCACATCCTTTTCAGCCTTATTTACTAGCTAAAGCTGTTAAAATCTCCACAACCTTCGACCGATGTACACGTTTAACTGATCTCCATTACATGCCACTCTCCAATCTCCATCGGCTCTTTGTGCTTCACTACGCATTATGTTCAACTCTTCTTAGAACTACCTGTCTACTTCTCTTCACCAACTCGATGCTGGGTCACATCATCCTCTACCTATTTTCTCAATTCAACACCAAAGCCTTTGCTTTCGTTTCCCTCTACCCTAATGGCCAACTCAATCTAAATCCGTATTCATTTTAAATTTGTTGTTATCGCTACTAGTCTTTTGATTCCAGTACTCTGAGCATTGATGGTTCGGATCGAGAGCTTCAATAGCCTGGAAGATGGCAATTTGTTAAGAAATATATGACTGAATTCAAATGTCACAACTAAAACTGACCAGGCATAAATTTGTGTCAGTATGTTAGCTATTCAGATAAATGCAAGTTTCAAATGATAAGAATTTAACAATATCAAAAGGCTTGGACAAGTTGTTTTGAGTTCAAAATATTATGGAACTAGTGCTGTAACATGCTAAAGGATTAATAAGTAATATTATCTCATCATCAGATTTCGTAAGCCGTATTCCAGTATCATGATAAAATATTAAGGATCATATTTGTCAGCTAAAATATTCAAGTCAGATGAGCATCATCAGCAATGACATTAGTTCATTTGCTCAACTTTCAAACTTGAAAGATTTCAATGAGTTGAAACCTTGTACAATAGCTTAAATAGAAGAAGGGCGGCTATGCTGTAAGACATGCATTAGGAACTTTATTGTGCTGCCTCAGGATAAGATAGATGCCATTTTAGATGTAATTATGAGAAAGCATCAGACAAATACCAGTCAAATTACTCAGATTAAGTTTTAAAATGGCTATTTGGCTACCATACCTTAATTATGGGTGGTGAGAGAAATCCAAACATTTCAAGTCCATTGACGCTCTTCGGTGATTGCAAAGGAAGAATGCCACTTCCCCCAGGATTTCTCCTTAAAATTTCTTGGTTTAGTTGCAGCACCACCATTTCCTAGCATTTCTCCACCGACACATCTGCAAAGTTTACAGTGGGGCAACTTTCTAAAGTGACCTGAAATATACAATAACGGATGTAAGCAACATAAGGTTGTACAAGCAAGCTAACTCAGTGAAAAATGTTCATCGACTACTCTTGGTTGCTTGTTAACTTAAATGTCAACTACGCCATGCTCTCTCTCTCTATTTGATATATTTTCTTTTTCCATTTCTCTTCTTTTTCCTGATTTTGGCTCTGTTATCCCTTGAGTGATTACTCAACAAGTGAACCTTTATGGCCAAAGCAGACAAGCACTAGTCTCACCTTAAATAGAGGTCCACTGAGCCCGGCATCTACGACTTCTGAGATGTAGCTAGAAGTCTATGTTGGGTTGATAACACTAAGGGGATGTTTGGTTCACGGCATATGGGATTATGTTATGACCCTCAAGAAATAGAGAAGAAAAATAGACGAAGAAGAGAAGAAAAGAGGAGAGAGTATAAGAGATTCAAGAGAAGAAAGAGTTCATTCTTTTCACTCATAAAAACTATATTCTGCAGTACATGGTTATTTAATCACAATACATTAGGTTTCCTCCTATTTTGGCTTGGGCTTATCCTAAGGCCCTTGTTTCCCTTCCTCAAGTAAGTATGCTCTTTTCTATGTTAATTTTCTCCATGTGAGTCACATGCTCCCTTTTTAATTCCTCTTCATCAAAATTCCTCAATTCACTACGTGCAATTCCTAGTTCAATCCCTAATTCATTTTCTAAATCCCTCGTGTTATTCGCTTTGTGCTTTTCCTCCTCCTCTCTCCCAATCGTGACAATTCCTCCCATTTAGACGATCCTTGTCCCCAAGGATCAAAGTATCGAATTTGTGATAGCAAGACCACAAAATCCTTCCAAGTTCCAATTGGCTCTTTATCAAAATCAATATCAACCGTACCAACAAGGGCATAAGCAACCACTAAAGGAGGTGAAGCAAGGTAGTTGGCTCTTGTTAAGGCATGCACACGACCCTCGAAGTTTCGATTCCTAGAAAGTACAACAAACACCATTATATCATTTTTGAAATAGCAGTGGCAACTGATTCATCTAAATCTCCTGAATTTCCTATGCATGTTGTGCAACCATATCCAACAATATTGAAGCCCTGCTTATTCAAATATTCTTGCAACCCACTATGTAGTAAAAATTTTGTAACAACTCTTGAACCTGGTGCAAGACTTGTCTTTATCCAAGGCTTGACTTGTAAACCAAGTTCACAAGCCTTTTTTGCAACAAGACCTGCCCCAAGCATGACACTAGGATTTGATGTATTCGTGCAGATCGTAATTGCAACAATCACAACACTGACATGCCTAAGCTCTGCTGGCTGTCCATAGAACGAAAATTTTGCCACTTTCCCCTGTGCTGCTTTTGGCACAACAAACCCCTTGAAATCAACTTTATTGTTAAGACAAGAATTCCGATCTCTCTTCATTTCTCTCAAAGGAACCCGATCATGAGGTCTCTGTGGCCCTGATATACAGGGTTCAACTTCTGCAAGGTTTAATTCTAGATATGACGAGTACACTATTTCTTATTGAGGCTCGTTATATGTTGCGTATTGTGAGTACTATAAAATTATACGCAAATAATGTGCAAGTATATACAATCACAAAAGTAATAAAGTGATGAGTGAGTATCGTCTCCACAGGGATTGGAAGGATATTGAGTGAAGTTTATGCACTATTCTATCTAAGTATAGTTAGTCTTGATATATACAAATGTCACGACAAATGAAAAATGTATGATGGTGGATATGAATGAATGGTCTGATGGTGTAGTAAATGGAAATGCAGTGGCAAGAACAAATGTTTAATATTGAGTATGGTGAAATGTCAAGGCAATGAAAAATGGTAAAAACAATAAATAAAAAATGAAATAAAAAGTAAATAATCCTCACGTGACAAGCTTCCAATGGAATGAATGATAGGGATCGATTTAAGGATGCTAAACTTATTCCTCAGGCATATTTAAGCTATATAATCCTTACTTGCTCGACAGGGCTTTCCTAAAATGTTCTCAAAGGAACCTAATAGAATAGGATGCCAAGGCATCTGCTCTCACTCAACGATGTTGGCCAGCCTACCCTATTGATAAAGACACCCTTTTTAGTCGTTGAAATCCTATCCTAGTCTCTCCTGAGATCTAAGGGATTAGGTTATAATATCCCTAGGCCGGTTCAAAGCCCCTTGAAATACTATAACCCATTGCTTATGAGGATCTTGTCTTGCGGTTCTATCGAATACTTACAAGTATTTTTAGCTTAGGTTTCTCCCGAATACCTAAACTTCATCTAAGAAATGGATAATTCCATGCCTCTTACAAGCCTAGATGGTGAAACATTCATAAGCAAAGCAAATAAAGAACTAAAATAAACTTAAATATACCACTAAAATAAAATCTAAACATCCATTAAACCAACCACCACCAAATAAGTTAGTTCATGGTGGGGTTCGAAATATCCAAACATAAAGTCATGCAAATATTCGTTCCAACAATCCCACAAATAAATAGAAAAAATAGTAGCAAAAGGGGAAGTGAGAAATAACCTTCGACGCGAGCCACCGGAGGTCTCCTCGGCCACCACGAACCACCTTAGCTCGCTAGCTCCTTTCGGCACCTAGCTAGCCACTCCTTGAAGCTTTATCAATGGAGGAAAACCCAAGAAAGAAGAAAGGAAAAGGGAAAATAAAAATGAGATTTTTTTGCTCTACTCTATGCGTCTCATTTCTTCCACACACACTCTCTCTTGTGAGGTGTAATATATAATAAGAATATCTAGGGGCAATGATGAGGTTGTTGGGATATTGTTGGGTGCAAAATACCCCTCATACCCCTAGGATCACACCTTGTGTGTGAACCTTATCCTCCAGGTGGCAGTGGTACCCTAACATGCTGTTACAGCCATCATTTCACGTGCAGAGCCAGTTGTCCTCGTACAACTGTATCTTTTTGTCGTTTTCTGTGCCAGAAATGCCCAAGGCATTTCAATCTGCGTGTGATGCCGCGGTATTACTTCTCAGCTATCCTATTTTGCTTGTTATTTTCTGCACATCATTAAAAACCACACATTCCTCCTCATATAGCACCTTAATAAAATAAAATAAAACAACCACCACAAATGCAATTATATGCAACTACATACATCTCAAATGACCTATATGTACCCTTAAACAAACAATAACTTAAGTCAAAAAGGCCTTAAAAGTAGTTGTATCACGGTTAGAACCAAGTCAGTAGCTGTCACGCCATTTCTTAATTTTCCAGATAACTTGAATCCAACAACACCAGGAAAAACCATGCTCATAGGCTGACAAGCATGGTTGCCTCAGCTTCAATACCACCAACTCCCCAACTAACTTCTCTAAGACCATATATCATAGTTGTATGGGAATCAGTTCCAACCACACTATCAGGGTATAATATTCTGTTTGTGTTGAACCTGATGCACAATACCAAAACCAGGAGGAACAACAAGCATATTATGAAAGGCAGTAGATCCCAACTTAAGGAAAGAAAAATCTTTCCTTGTTCCTCTAAAACTCAAGTTCCATGTTTGCTTGCACTGTATTTTCTGATTTGGTTACATCAACTTGAACCGAATGGTCAATGACAAGATCTACGGGAACCAAATGATTAATTTTGCTTGTATCACTGCCAAGTTTGTGCATTGCTTTGGTGATGTATTTTCCCAATCAATTATTTTCTTAACATCTTCCTTCTTAACTTGGAAGTTGTCGCAATTACGAATCGCAGATTCAACCAAGATTCTGATAGAGTATGGCAGTTTATTAATCTTTGGATCATTCAGGGCAGACAAGCTGTAGAACTTTCCAAACTCGCCACCACCTGGCTTGGGAAGACTTGTTAATACTGCCTTAAAGGGATGTTCAGCAACAGATTTTTGGCACTGTAGAAATTGATTCACATTTACCGTTGAAGGAGATCCGTCTAATTGTTTTGTTGTTGTTTGAGTTTTATAGTGGTCCACCCTCCATCCACCATCCAATGCAATATAGGAAATTGTTGACTGAATTTCAGTGTAAGTTGTGGCCGAGCTGTTACACCTTCACCTTCATGTAGCAACCCAAGAAGAATATGCTCGGATCCAATATAGTTATGGCCAAGTTGGCGGGCATATTCCAACAAGAGTTCCAAAACACATTTGGTATGAGTAAATGGAATCTTCACAACAACAAAATAATTGCTCCTTCCAATTATCTCATCGACCTCAACTCGCGAATCTTTAAGATTGATTCCCATTAGCAATAATCTAAACTTGTAAGGGTCATCATCTTCTACAAGTTTATCCCTCCCATTAGAATCAGTATGAAACACCTTGTTTGTGGCCATATTTGCTATTAGTAGAGTAATGATCTCTTTTCCGACAATGTCATCTATGGGAATCGAACCAATAGTGAATTCGAATTCAGCATGCTCTTTGTCTTTGTAGAGTCTGGTGACCTGGTAGATCCATTCATTAAATTGTTGGAAAAATTCATCAACTAGGGGTCCACGAGTGACCCTCAATGAAACTGATCGTGAAATAACGATTGGAGATGAGCCGTTAGGCCGGAATACATATGCACCAAATGCATGGGGATCAGAATCACCACTGCTTGAACTGTACCACGGGTAGCTCTGCTGCACTGGTACATCTACCTTTGGTGTTGGCAATTTATCGAACACCTGGGAATCATCATGTTCTTCCTCACACTTTTTACCAGTCAGCAACTGTAACATGTGCTCTACATCTCTCTGCTGCGACGCCATTTTTGATTCCAACATACTCAACTGGCTGTCCTCTTTCTGCCACCATTTAGGAGGGGTTGACTTAGTCGTTGTATGCTTTATCATATTCGTGAGATCGTCAAGCTGCCTCTGAATCGAAGAAAGATTAATGGAGGCTGTCATGCCTTGATTTTTTTTGCTTCAAGCTGCCAGGAAATGATGGCTCTGATTACCAATTTGTTATGACCCTCAAGAAATAGAGAAGAAAAATAGACGAAGAATAGAAGAAAAGAGGAGATAGTAGACGAGAGAATAGAGATTCAAGAGAATAAAGAGTTCATTTTTTTCACACATAAAAACTATATTCTGCAGTACATGGTTATTTAATCACAATACACTAGCTTTCCTCCTATTTTGGCTTGGGCTTATCCTAAGGCCCTTGTTTCTCTTCCTCAAGTAAGTATGCTCTTTTCTATGTTAATTTTCTCCATTTGAGTCACATGCTCCCTTTTTAATTACTCTTCATCAAAATTCCTCAATTCACTACGTGCAATCCCTAATTCATTTTCTAAATCCCTCATGCTCTTCGTTTTGTGCTTCTCCTCCTCTCTCCCAACCGTGACAGATTACCGGGGGAATGGAATCCTCATTCCCCCGTTTGGTTGGTCAGTAATCCTATTCTCTGGTAATCTTTTATTCCCAACAGTGGTTTTTTTGGGTTATATTACTGGGGATGTGATTACCCCCTTCCCTTAAGTATTGTTGGATTACTGACATTTTCGACTAAAATGCCCTTAATTTTTTTTTTCAAAAATATCATTCTTTTGTCGTTTAATAATAAAAATTCTACGAAGGTTAAATTATAAATTTATCCTTAAACTATTTTATATTTACAAAAAAAAAATCTATAATTAAAATTTTATATGAAGTTCAGGGGTTAAAATAAAATTTTATCATTTCATTAAACCTATTTATCTTTTCAATTTTGTAAAAAAAATTATATGAATTTTATGAATTTAAATTTTTTAAAGAAAATATATAAATTAATTATAGTAATATTATAGTAGAATTCAACTTATTAAAAAACAAATATATAATAAGGACAATTTGGTAAAATATACATTCCAATAATCTTTTATTCCTTTAACAAAACACTGTAATCTTACCTGCTAAACCAACCAAACACAAAATACAACATTCTCAGTAATTCTATTCCCCAATAATCTTTTACTCTCACTGGTAATATTACATTCTGTGAACCAAACGCACCTTAAAGAACTTAACACGGGTTCTAAATCCTATAAATATCAAGCACGGATATGAAATCCTTATATTGGTAAGAAAGACGTGATTAAATAGTAAAATATCAGATCAAACTCCATATCAGATCAAACTCCACTGTCATGTACCTTTTGGGTATATAGCCTGCTTGCTGCACCATTGTTTTCCGAACATGACAGATCCGAAATTTAAAGATTCCATAGAAGAATTCAACAATGGATCTCCTCGGGCAGCAATTGATGCATTTACATCTGAGCTATTGGTAGTTGTTGTCTTCATCAAGATATTAGATTTCCATGGATGTGGAGACTGATGTTCAACGCTAAACAAGTTATTGACATCAAAGCCATCAGAATCCAAAGGAACACTTGAAGTTGAATGCTGATACTTGTTGGGAGAATCTCGAGAATCTGATGACGGCCTACAATCACTTTTGATTCTTTTTAGGACAGGTTCTCTTACTTCATCAAAGCCACGCTCATGCTTACAAGAAGGTAAAAATGTCTTCACATCACTCTTGTTATTAGGGCTATCCAAGGCATTTAACGAGTTGATTGCAGGATAATCAGATATAATACCAAGATTCAACTTCATGCTGGCATCCTGCTCCAAGTTTTCCATTGTAAGGACTTCGGTATTATAGACATTGTTTTCACTATCTATGGTGGTATGAAAAGCTTTTAATTTAGTCCCATGCTGGCAGTCTGATGGCAATACTTCTGAAACGTGACCATAAGAGGATGAAGTAATAATATCCGACTTTTTTTTTTAATTCCCCGGAAAAAAGAAAAACTTTCACTTGAGAAGGTTCTACTTTTACTACCTCACTATTATGAACCAAATTAGACACATGAGCATCACAACCTTCAATATCTGTGCATGCCCATGCTTTAAAAGGATCTACTCCTTCCTCCAGAGCTTTTACTAGCATTTTCAGTTCATCAATGGTGTATCGAAGGAGGACATATCTTTCTTCAGTTTGGCACGAACAGAAATTCTTTATATGTTTCAGACATGCAAATCGCTCAGGAGAGCAGTTGCAGCTGCAGGAAGACAGATGCAAGTCATAGAAACAAGAGAAGCATTCCCTTTTACGTTCCAAATCAAAGACTATTTCCATCTTTCGTAAGGGTAAGTGAGGTGGAAGGCAATTCAATCTTTCCTCCTCCATCTGCACTCGTGCCTGATAACAAGTGATAATGTTACATACATTGATTAGAATAAATAGTGGCAAGAGAAGTTTTTCACTTTATCATGCAAGTACATTTAAATAAGCTAATAAAAAAAGTATCTCCTTTTTCAGGGTGGAAGGGATAGGGGGAGAGGAGAGAAAAGAATCTACCCTAACAGCCTTTGTAAGGATTCCATCCTTTCCAAAGACATGTTTCCACCTCAAATTTCCCGGAGTTTCTGTGCCAGCAAAAATAACTTCCTGAGAGCTTGGATGGTTTGCCAAGCTGCTCCTAGGAGCAGCTTGTCATGGGACAGCGATGTCCTGCGATGCTGGTCACTGTAGAGCTCCACTGCATGTTGACCATGTTCTAGCCAATCAACAGGAGCAACATTCACAGCCTCCGCACAGTTGAAGCCACAATTAAATTCAGAATGAAATGCCCTTGGAAAGGTAATAACAAACTCCCCAGAACATTGTACAGCTCGATAGATTGGTACACCCTCACATTTTAGAACAGATGGAGAAAACTGAGTAACCTGACCAAAGATGAATTGCAAACTTTATGCATGTAATAAGCTAATCTAATATAAAAGTAAATAAATAAATAAATAAATATGATAGGAGTGAATGACAAGGAACAGATACACCATCTAGGAAAAAGTAATGAGATTCTTAAGATACTTAAAAATCATTTCATGTGCATATTTATTCTAAAATTTCAATTATAGATGATTTAATGGTGTTCTAATCAGTATAGTCTTTGGTTAACGACGCAGGTGGTGAATATGCATGGATATCACCAGGTACCAACACAACCGACCTGGCTCTCTAGGATTACACTGGAAGATACAGTTGCACAATCATAAGAATAACATTATACAAAACATAAACTGCATGCTGAAAAAGCAACCTACATGCATTTCTTTCTTGTACCTGATTCTCTTAGATCCCTCGATGTCTTGGAACCAAGGTCCAACATTTCTACATCAATGATCTATTTAGATTGGTAGACACCAGAGAGCTGTTTAAAATACTGCAACTTCTTTAACACTATTACGTCTTAAAATGTATAAATTCACAGTTAAGCAGGATGAAGGTGCTAGAGGAATTGACATTTTAATTTGAAAATACTTGTTCCTCATAATCAACCTGATGAGAAATCAAATATGGCTGCAAGAAGCAATGAAAAACTGTAGAAAATATGCAAAAATCCAACCAAATAAAATAAAGAAAAAAGCGAAACAAGTGTTTCACCAATTCATGGAGCAAATCTGGTTGTTCTTCAAACAAATCAGGGAGATGCTTTCTCATTGCAGCCTCAAAAGTGGAAGCATGATTTCTAGGCACTCCATACCATATTTTTGGATCAACCCAGTGCATATAGTTTAGTGAATACAGATGGTGGTCCTCAACATGCTGCTTGAATCATAATACAGTACAAATGAGTGAAAATGAAAGGAAAAAATAGGCATGAATCACTATTCAAATTGTCAAACATGAGTAGCCACTTTTTACACCCCCTTCCATATCTTTCTAAACATAAAAAATAGGCATGAATCTCTCATGCACAATATGCAACATCACATATTTCCATACGTCATCATGAACAGCGACACGGACATGGATAGTGGACAAATTTTAATGATTTCCATATAATATACACAACTATATGCAACTAATTGCGCTGCAATCATAACCATGCTTGTTTTCATTCTCCACAAATAAAATAATTAAAAAAACACACACCACTGGATCATTTTTTGTCGGTTGTTATGCCCACCACCACATTGCTCACCTGCAATAATCATAATTTTGAATCAGGCATCCCTTCTTCTTCCCCCTCCCATGTTCCATCTTTAATAGCATAATAAAAGTTCATGACAATGAAGAACACACATAACGTAAATATGTGCATTCAAACTATATATACCAATTTGCCACTCTCATCAACAGACATGGGATTCTCGACGACAACTGTTTGGCTCTGAGCACAAGGCATCAGTCAGAAGCTCGAAACCATCTATATTTTAAAGGAAAGAAATGACATCAAACTTAATAACTTACTGTCGAAGTGGATGGTATAGTCCCTGTGGCATTTGGTCTGCTTGCCGGGAGAGGAAACCTTACATTGCCCATCTGAAACATAGATGAGAAACAGAGCGAGTAGGTAAACCACAAAATAGAGGTTATCCAGACATAAAAATATATACCATGCCTCACACAACGCCTCTGGTGTTCAAAAATATTTATCGCATGGGCATAGTAAGTAAATAAGTACTTATCCTTCTGATTAAATACAATGCAATTCACTTCCAAAAGGGTAAACATATAAAAAAAACAGCTTATGAGAATAAAAAAGGTGAAGCATTAGACCATGTGCAATCATTGCATAGAAGAATTAATTTGTCTGGTAAGAAGAAGCAAAATCTTGCATATTTGAGAAATAAATATCCCAGTCCATTAATACGGTGATATTGAGAAGAATTTAAAGATTTAAAAAATGGGACCTTGTATCAGAAAACATGCAATAATACTATCTAGCAATATATAAATATGTTCAATATCAATGATAGACACAAATGAAAATTGTGTCAATTCAATCAAACACTTACGCCAACATTAGTAACATATTGACAAACAGCACATTTGATGTGACCTATCTGGTTGGATGGTGCTTTTTTCACGGTAATGAGATCCATTAGGGTTGTTCGGCAGTGCCCGCAGTTGATGTGAGCTATCTGTTAGGATGGTGTTTTTTTCACGGTAATGAGATCCAAGAAGAGAAGAAAGAAAAAACAAGGTCGGTAAAAAAGCTGGGGACCATGGAATTAAAAGAGGGGAGGAAAAAATGAATCTTGTTGCCAGGCAACCAGGAAATGCACTGATAAAAGATTGAAGGATGAACCAAAGAAGAAAGTACAGTATAGTTCGTACTCACTCCCAAAATTCATAGAAGATATACAACCTCAGGTATTCAAAATAAAAATTCCACTTCGAGAAAAGACAAAACCAAAGTCCAAAATGATCAGGCCGCTTTCTATAAAGAAGCATATTAAGATCATCTGGTTACTGAAATAGTTTAAATGCCGCAAACAGAGCAATGATTAACAACCACAAACACAGCCTAAAAGCGCATGCCACCACAAAAAAACTGCATTGGCAGCCTAAATCATTAAAAATAAGATGTATGCATAATTTGATTAGAACAGCCAATAATCCAGATGGCAGACAAACTTTGGAAACATTCTAAGATTTTTAACTACTCAAAGTAAGCTCACATTGCTAGTAAAAGAAAATGATAATATAAGATGATAAAAAAATCATCCATGTGGAACGCATTGTGACTCACTAAATACAGGGTGGGGAAGCGCTAATCAAAGAACAGAACAAGTCCCGTTTTCTCCAAAAAAAAATTAAGCGACTTTCTTAAAATTGTTTACATTGCATAAAAAGTAGAAGGAACCCACAAGCATTAAACTTTCATCAAAGCCCCAAAATGACTTTCCATTGAATAGCAACAATTTTGCAATTCCGAACATTATGACCACAAATATCATTTACACAAACCAGTATATTATACCTGTCGCAAGGTTGACGGTGTTACAGCAAGAGCATCTTACACTTGTTGCTCCACATGCATACATTAGCAATGTTCGACACCCCCCACATATGAGTTGAGTCATTCCCATCCCTGCAGGGTTAATTTAAAAACTTGGGTTATCAAGCCATAAGATTCTTAGCTGATATTGAACTTATTTTATTTACATATATAGATAAGAGAAATGTTACTGGCCACCCTACATTATTGTTTTCTTTGCCTTAAACTAATCTTTTATTTCTGTAGAAATTTTATATACCACCACAACCATTATAAGCATTACCAGATAGTTTCAAAGTATACATCGTTCAAGGCAACCAAATGAACAAAAGGAAAAAGAGAACTCGTATAAAAAGAAAATACAGTAGCATTGCAATCAGACATCTGTAGAAAGGAGCAGGAAAAATAGTGCCAAGGATACAGCCATATTGATTGGCAGATTATCACCCTGCAATTAAAGATTGCCATCAATAATCTTACTAAGTTGTTTTAAAAACAAACCTTTGGAAATCCGGTATCATGTTGACATCTAAGTACCAAACAAAAGGAAGTTAACATAGCCAAAATGCCCAAATGATATGTGTAACAACCTTGATATGGGTGGGCTACGATCAAGCCAAGTTGAATGGTAGATCTGAGCAGCTTTCCAAGATTCATACTTCCAACAGTTTTAATGGAGTATGGTTTAGGGACCATAAGATAATTTGAGTTTTGTTTGGAGTACTCATTCAATTCAAACTCAATTTTTATCTAGCTTATGCACAACCAAGTTCACATAAAGAAGTTGCTAAGGAAGAAAGAAACTCCACAATGAATGAACTTATGTCAAACTAAAAATATATTTAACAATTACCCAATAAGGTAACATCAAAATCACAAAAACAAATAGCAGTAAGTTCTCACTAACAACCTGTAACAAGTTTGATTTTACTATATTTTGTTATTAAGTTGAATCGAGTTTAGGGGAGTTGAGGCTCCATTCCAAAACTTAAGTAAATAGAGGAATATATTGCATGTTAGCTTCTTTGATATGTTACTGAGTTTGAAAAATGCAACTGTCAGACATGAGTGTCGGGCATCATATCTAACTAACATAAGTCAATTATAAGTAAGACAATACATTCTCAAACTACAAAAAAAAAAAACAATGCTTGTGGCTTATTACATATGATAAATCCCATTCAAGCAAACTTGTAATATAGCTGTCGTGTGCAGTGAACAGACAGATTAAATCCAACCGTCAGTACAACAAAAACCCAGTTCCATCATTTGTACCACTCAATTCAATGCCCATTTCAGCATTTATAGTAATAAAACCAATGATCAATTTTTAGGCAAGGGGCAAATTCATAAAATTTTCAAATAAGATTCTAGCATAACTAAAAATGGGGTCCATTGGATCTCCATGGTATTTATAACCAAAGTAATCATTTAGTTAATGACGAGGTACAGTAGTTTCTAATAGGACTATTTGAAGCATAACCCAGATCACTAGGTCCATTATTAAGGGGTGAAAAGGAACCCACAAAGCCAAGTATTCCAACATAAAGTAGTTCCCAATGCCACTCACCTATATAGATAAACCCAGAAAATAAGAGAACAATTTGCTAATTTTATGATGCATATATCTTTTGAGTTTCAGTAATAATAAACATGTTCATGTTGAAGATACTGACAACTTGCAACTGTTCACAACTTCAGAAAACTGACAGTTGATTTTAAATGTTAAATTAATAAGAATGATAATTGAAGTTTACCGGGGGGAGGGACTTGGGAAACTGTATTACAAAATGCACAGCAAACATTTGTAGCCCCTCTAGGATAAAGAAGAATGCTCCTACATCCGCTACAAATGAGTTGGCTTTGCATATCTGCATTCATTGTAAAGAATGATGTAAAAATGCTTTTCATTAACCCGGTTATAACAATAATAACGATTTACAAGTGATAATGCCATTTTTGAGATTCAATATAAAGCATATGATAGTAAAATCTCATCCATTAACACAATCCCATTGACCTCTATGAAGCAACAATCAACATGACATCTAGAGGTCAAAATTCATAACATCCAAAAACACCAAAATTGTTAGTCAAGAGAAATAGAATAGTAATAAAAATGTCTGAAAGGCAAAAGATTCATTTAACAACTAGCATTCAGTGGCAACTTAATAAGAGTTCTATCTCAAAGTACAATTATAGATATACTACATTATGCATTACAATCACTGTAGAAAAAAAGCGAGGTTAAGAATTTTAAATAACAAAATATGAGAGAAAAATCATTAAAACAGAAATCTGGTTCACACTGCACAATCTTTCCCTTTAAGCATTTCTTTTTCTCTTTTGTCCTTTCAATCATATATTAGTTAAAAACTAGGCAAAATTAGTACATCATTTCTAAAGCCCTTTATTTACAGTGAAAACCGAACATTAATTTAGAAAAAAAGTGAGAGAAAGAAACACCCGATTTCCCTTCCTTCAACAAGAAACCAATCCCAATTTTTTGAGGAGCAATGGAATACTTAAAAGTTCCTGTCAAACAAATGAAAAACAAAAAATAAAATTAAATAAGAGGAAAATTCAAAAGAGATAGTGATACTAAGGAAGGTAACTTTTACCTTGAAGAAGAAGTTCAATATCAAGAAAAAGAATAATATTATCAACAGGATAATTTAAATGCCGTGATTTAACAAATATGATTAGATCCGTCAAAACTAGGAATCTTGCAATTACGCTTTTTTGTTTTTGTTTTTTCTCTTTTGGTTGAAGTTTCTTAAGAAAATGTCGTTAGGAATTAGGAAACGCCAAAGCATAACGCAAAGCATTGCTCCTTGTTCCGTCGAGTTTTTGCGCTTTGACCCTCCTATTATTTACTTATTTCATTCTCCACGGTCTCTTAATTTATACCGCAAAATGCAATGTTTTCCAATTCTTTACTCCTTTTGGCTCCAGAATCCTAAAGAAGACCCCCCTTCTTCAAGTAATGAGAAGCCCAAAAACTCTCCAGTTGGCCATATAGGAGGAAGAGGAGGCTCAAGAAGGCTTATTCACTCAGCCAAGAAACTCTTCGTCGTGGCTAAATAATAGAGATCAAACAAGGAGAAGATGGGCTGAAGAATCAGTTGGCAATTCATTTAGCAAGCAATCAAGCGGTGTGACTACTCATTCACAGCAAATTCTTAATGTAGAACCATCAGTTTCTTCTAAAGATGAATCAGAAATTGGAGTGGAAAAACCAGTAAATGCTGCACCAAATAAGAAAACCTGGGCAGACAAGGTTGAAGAAGAAAAGAAGGAAGAATTTCAGTGTGGAAGAAAATATCTGTAGAAGAGCTCTCGTGATGGGTTTAACAAGGACGAGGAGTTCGGTGATGAAAATCAGAATTCCAACATAATTTATCAGCATCGTGGTCATTCTACGCATCATATGAAGAATATAACTCAACAGCTAGTATCATTTTGCATTAAGGATAGATACAATGCTTTACCGAACAATATTTCGTCGAGAAGGAATAGGCTTCAGGTTTTCCAGGACATAACCAGTACATGAAGACTACTTTCATTTAAGCTGTTCTGTAGCTTTAGTTTAATGGTGTTTAAGTTAGATCTCTCTCTTTAGTTATTCTGTTCATTGCACCCCGACTACCCGAGCATTTGGCTTCACAGTAGTTGCATGGAAAAAATGTAGAACTTTTACTTGGTTCAAATATGATTTTACGTTTACTATACTTTCATGCCTTTTCAGTAGTATTTTTATAACAGACAGAATAAACAAAATTATCCAATTCTTGACCTAAAACAAGACAAAGTCTTATTTCTTAAAATGATGGTAGACAAATAAAATAATATTAAGTTCAAGGCTTATCATTCAGAAGCAAATATAGTCACAAGAACTCGATCCATCAAAGATACAAGGTAGAACTCACAACAATAATACATATCATGAAATGTCAACTAAAGTTTGACAACATAAACATCTCCCAACCGAGTTATACATATTAATAACTCAAGCAACATACTCCTCTTCTTCTTCATCTCCTTCCTCGTACTCGTCGTCTGCGGTTGCATCCTGGTACTGCTGATACTCTGCAACTAAATCATTCATGTTACTCTCTGCTTCAGTAAACTCCATCTCATCCATTCCCTCCCCAGTGTACCAATGCAAGAAAGCTTTCCTCCTGAACATTGCAGTAAACTGCTCGCTAACCCTCCTAAACATCTCCTGAATGGAAGTTGAATTTCCGATGAAAGTGGATGCCATTTTCAGACCCTTAGGTGGGATATCACACACACTCGACTTCACGTTGTTAGGAATCCACTCAACAAAGTACGATGAATTCTTATTCTGGACATTGATAATTTGTTCATCAACCTCCTTAGTGCTCATCTTACCCCGGAACATTGCAGAAGCGGTAAGGTATCGGCCATGGCGTGGGTCAGCAGCACACATCATGTTTTTGGCATCCCACATCTGCTGAGTCAGCTCAGGAACAGTCAGGTTCCGGTACTGCTGTGATCCTCTTGATGTCAGGGGTGCAAATCCAACCATGAAGAAGTGTAGTCGAGGGAAGGGAATAAGATTGACAGCCAGCTTACGAAGATCAGAGTTCAGCTGTCCAGGGAACCTTAGACAGCATGTGACACCACTCATGGTAGCAGAGATGAGGTGGTTAAGATCACCAACTGAGTCAAGTTAAAAGAAGAATCAGATGGAAGACAGATTATATATACTTGGGATTTGGGATATTGATTCCAAGGCAGTTAGTTAGGCAAATAAAACTAGGCATTTACGATGAAACGTCAGAACTTACAAGTTGGTGTGGCAAGCTTGAGGGTGCGGAAGCAGATGTCATAGAGAGCTTCATTGTCCAGCACCATGCATTCATCAGCATTCTCAACAAGCTGATGAACAGAAAGGGTAGCATTGTATGGTTCAACAACTGTATCAGACACCTTAGGAGACGGGAATACCGAAAAAGTCAACATCATGCGATCTGGATACTCCTCCCTAATCTTGGAAATAAGAAGGGTTCCCATTCCAGATCCAGTACCACCTCCCAAAGAATGACAAACTTGAAATCCTGTCCCAAAGACACTTAAAAGTGAGAATTGAGGGCAGATATTATTTTTTTCTTTTCCTTTTCAGGTGAGCTTTCTGAGACCAGCTATTGGTAACAAAAAGCTCTGAAGCAAGAACAAGTTCAAAGCTTAAGATTATACGAACTACGAACCAATGATAGACAATATTGATATCCTTACATAAAACATAAATAAATGGGCTGGGTAATCAAGTTAAATTGAATTAAAAAAGACAAGCTTGCAACATATGTTTGTTTCATTGCAATTGTACAAAAGGCTAAAGACAAAATCAGACCATACTGCAACCACAAAAACTTCAAAGCAAGAAAGGTGAAAATAAATGTCAATTCCTCAAACACAAGCAGTGAAATAAATCATCATATGGATTTAACGCCTTAACAATCCCTACTTAAATATCACAATTTTACTTCAACATGTAGTGTTCCAAAGATATAATCTGCACTACAAAAATGTTATCCGCAAAATGAACCCAAGATCAAGAACAAACCCAATTTCAGAAATCCAAAATTGAGGACAAATACAATAGAAATTTAAGGAAAAAAAGAATACAACAAGCAGATAAAAAGAAAATATAAAAAGTTACAGGGATGATATATACCCTGTAAACAATCACAGTTCTCAGCTTCTTTTCTTACGACGTCAAGAACGGAATCAATGAGTTCAGCTCCCTCGGTGTAATGACCCTTGGCCCAGTTGTTCCCAGCACCAGACTGACCAAAGACGAAGTTATCGGGACGAAAGATCTGGCCAAAAGGACCAGATCTGACGGAGTCCATGGTACCGGGTTCCAGATCCATGAGAACAGCGCGAGGGACATACCTACCGCCACTGGCTTCATTGTAGTAGACATTGATCCGCTCCAGCTGAAGAACCGATTCGCCGCCGTTGTACTTACCGGTGTTGTCGATCCCGTGCTCGTCGCATATCACTTCCCAGAACTTAGCCCCGATCTGGTTCCCACATTGACCTCCTTGGATATGCAAGATTTCTCTCATGTTTTCCTTCACAAGGGTTTAGATATTTCTGCTCGTTTTCTTGGGAAAATAAGGTGATGGGGGATCCAAGAGAGTGGGTCGCTTTGCTTTTTGATGGGTAATGTATGGACGGGAGTGAACGCTGGAAGGGGGTAAACTGTGTTGCCTAATTAACGCTTTGCTTTTAATAGTTGAATGGGACATCCAGACAGATATTATTCCTATGTACATTGCAAAACAGAACAAAAATGGTTTTGAAAATAAGTACTCCCAAGTCCTAATACTAACAAATTCTTTTCTCGGATTAAATTACATTTAACAAACCCTATTATCAATTTAGTGGTGATCATTCAATCGAATCGAGTAAAAAAATTTAAGATATTTAAATTGATGAGACGTATTTCACAACTCAAACTTAATTTAAATTTTTTTTGAATCTAATCGAATTTAAGAAATTCGAGTTGAGTTATTCAAATTTCTATACTAATTTTATCATAATTATTTATAGTATTATGATAAGGATTTGTTCCATTTTTTACTTTCTCTAACCATAATAAATATATATATTATATTCTTTTCACATTATAATGTTATTTAATATATCAAATACAATCTAAAATTATGAAATATATTCATAATATTATAATTTAAAGAAATTGTTTTGAGGGTAAAATATTGATGAGAGTATAAAGGAGTCAATAAATTGATGTGAAGAAAGAATTTACAAACAATTGTAGTCAAAAGACCAAATTGAGTAAAATGCAAAGTTAAGGGACTAAATAAAAAAGGTACATTATTAGTAAAAAAAGTAAGAATCGAAGTTACATAAGTATTAGATTGTGGTATATGAGCATGTGGTTCAAATTTAGTAAAAAGGAACTTGAAATAAAGGATGAATTGAAGAAATAAAGAAAATATGAAAAATTGAGAACTAAATTGAAAAATAAAAAAATGTTATTTATCAAAAAGAGAGATTGAAATTACAAATGTATTATACGATGGTTTAGGAGCATGTGGTTCAAATTTGATAAATAAATGGACTTAAAATGAAGAAGGAATTGAATGAATAATGAAATCAGGGACTAAGTCATAAAACTATCAAAATACTTATTCAATTTTTCGTTTTTTCGAGTAACTCAAAATTGCAACTCAACTCGAACTCAAAAAATGAATTGATAATTTGAGTTGACTCGAATAACTCGAAATTAAAAAAAAAAATTCGAATTGAGTCGAATTTTTACTTACCCCTAATTATCATCCAACATGATTGGATTGGACTGGGCTGAACTGAACTGGTCATTAGTTGAATTTGTATAAAAGATAGGCTTTATTATTTATTAAAAAAAGCAATTAAATTAATAAAAATTATAAGCATAAACATGCCACACCACCTGATCATATAACCTTTTATTCACCAATATAATCATAAAATCAAATATATGATTATCAATCAATTGTATTCCTTAAAATCTTTTATTTAAATAAATTTAATTACTCGCTCATTTTTCAGAGTATTAGACATGCACGTTTATATGATCAGGTGGTGTGGTAAGTGTGAAGTATTTGACTCTATACATTTTTAAGAGTCAAATTTTAATTTTGAAATTAAATCTTTAGAGATATTCTTCTTGTCGGTGGTCTTTATCTCGATATGGAGGAGTTAAACAACTTGATAGCATCCTCTCCAAAGCCGAATTCCTCCATTGATGATCCTCCTCACAAGATCAATAATGAAGGAATCCACATGGGAAGATTTGGCTCACACAATTCCATCCATTTTAAACTCCAGGCTCTTCGGGATTCCGAGAGCTGATATATGTGGCTTTTTGAAGGATCATAATATTAATTTACCCAACATCATGATCTGCTTCCTATTTCACTATTACTAACCACGTTAGATTTAGATACTATGCTAATATCTGGCTGGATTTTATTACTAAACTTGTTAAATAATGCAGCTTGCTGACCATCAAGGCTGGCTTTGGGATTTATTTATGAGATGACATTAATAATTATAGGTATTTGTTAATGTTTAATATTGGGAGGGTAGCTGTGATTTGAGTAAAGAGTAGCTGGTAAAGTGATTAATGATAACGATAATAAAACTCAAAGAAAATGATCGTAAGTCAAAAGAGAAAAGAAAAATAAATCTGACCACTCTTAGAGAAAGATGGATCTCGATCTTACATTCTTGGAAATATGTGGTAGCCTGGGATAGTAAAACAATGAAACATTGTGTCTATCAATAGGTAGTTTAGGGTTCTCATGCGACTTATCATACTAGCTTGCTAGTAATACGTTCTATCTAGTTGGTGCAGGTGATTGGATAAGTTAGATTGTCTTATCTGTCGATTGTCTCTCATGTTATAATGTAGTGGAGCGGAACACAATTGTTTGTGGCAGTGGTGGATTTAAAAATATTTTTGAGGGGGGACACACATGAGTTAGTAATACAAATTTTTGAATGGACGAACATAATTAAAATTCTAGGGTGGACACTATCAATAAAATGATGAACTAAAAAAAATCGAATTTCGTGATGGACTCGTGCCCACCCTCAAATATATGTGGCTCCGCCACTAGTCTATCGTCTACCTAATCGCGTGGTGTGTGATGAACCTAAACATCGGTGAGGGAAATAATGCTATACTTTTCCAAAATAGTGTTTTAAGGGATGATAATAATAATCCTAGATGAAAAGAGAAAGATGATGATGGAAGGTGGTCACATTCTATGAAAATTTCAAATTCCTATATATTTTAAGTATTTTTTATATTCTTTTATTAATTTTTTAATTTTATATCTTTTGAAATTTTATAATTTCACACTTTCAAAATTTCTAATATAACTCTTTAAAAACTATAACTGGATGATTTTTTTTTTAATCCTTTTTTGATAATAATAACAACATGTGAGCTTTATCTAAAGAGAGTAGGAAGTAACAATAGAACTCTAAAACACACAACAGCAACAAAATGTTTCGGATTAAGCAAAATTGTCTTCAATATAGACAAGTAGACAACATTATGGAGCTAACATTAATGCACCTTAATCGTTTCCGTCACAAGAAAGTTGTTATTTGCTACATCTCAAAACAACCCAGTAAATGATTTAATCCAAATGGAGCATGTAACTTGGATAAAGAACATTCTGATTAATTAACTCAATATTATCAACAGAATCCAGTAACGGAAAAGCAGGATTACGTAAACACAGGCATAAGTTCAAGATCTTAAACTCTACGTACGTATGAGTTATGCCATATGCAAACATATTTTGAATGTATAATGCATGCGTGCATGATATCTGAAAACCTAATGAATCCAAAGACGGGCAACTAAATAGTAGTAGCTCAGCCTATATTGGTTAGCCGGAGGAGATGTTTTTTCTTGGAGCCTAAACCGGGCCCACGTTTAACTTTGATCAAATGGCTCAAAACTTTAGCGTACCGACTCATCATTCCTTTGAGCTTTACCCCGTCGTTGTTATACTGTTGATTTTTCTTCACCAGCTGCAGCTGTTGCTCCTCTTCCGAGAAGTGCCGGCCCAGCGAAGCCGTGCCGCCGTTGGCTTCATCGCCATTGATGAGCTGCTTCAAGCTTCTACGGTCCTCGTTTTCTGATTCCTTGTCGTTGGTATTAGGTTGTTGGGGTTGATTATTGAGTGGCTTCCTGGTTCTCTTGGACAGCGTGATGTCGAAATGGGGCTTACTTCGATTGCACTCGCTGCCGCCCATCATCTCCCCGACCAAGCCGCAACGAATTGAATGCAGATTCTGGAGATTTTTAAAAGAGGGTTTGAGCTCAAATGTCAAAGTATGCATGATTGATTAAAGATGAAATGTCTCCCTCCCTCAACAACTGAAAAGATCAACCATTCCCTCTGCATAAGGGAGCCGGTAAAATACAGCATACCAGAGAAGCTGAGATATTACCAACCAAAAGCAACAATTCATTCCCCTCCTCATTGTCTTCCGCCATTCTTTTCGCTGCACAGCTCCTATTAAGGACGTTCTTCAAAGGTTTAATAACCGTTTTACCATATTGTTTGTTTTTTACTAAAGTATACAAAAACATCTCTTAACTATTTTATTTTTAATAATTTTTTCTATTTTAATAATGGGTAAATATTCTATCGAAAATTTATAGATGTAATGGAAGAAAATATTTTATACAAAAATATATTTATCAAAATTTTTAAATAATAAATAATCATGTGTGAAGTAGTAAACTACGTACCTTTATATGAATTCATTAGTCTTGTGTTTGAATCTCATAGTACTATTTTAATTTTTAATTATTTATTTTAAATTTTTATATAGAAGTATGAAAAGGTAATATGTAATAATATTAATTATTTCTCTCCTATTAAGTTTCTCCTTTTTTTATTTAAAATTATCCAATTCAAATTGTCCTATTAATTATTTATTTCCCTTTTTTTTACCCTTATTTTTTTTTGGAATGAAATGAAAAAAGCACAATAGTTACAGCCAACTACTACTCCAGCTGCATATTATGAGCAACATCCCGATGATAAATTCGAGCAATCTCCTCCGGAGGACTGTTGTAATACTTTATTCCAAAAGAGTTCGACCAAGCCATTTTTGCCATACCATCTGCAACCCCATTGCAATGTCGGGGAACATGAACAAAACTACCCTCCAATACGCTTAACAGGATCAACGATATGCGGCACCACTGATGAAATTCCCCAAGAATGAGATTCCCAATCGAGCACCGAAACAGCCTCTCTATTATCGGATTCCACTTCCATATCGTCATTATTTAGATCCCAAGCCAAGCCAACTTTAAACCTTCAAGTTGTCCCATAATTCCGCATCAAGAACATAAGACGTATCGATTTATTTGGCGAAGCCCATAATTCATCTTCTTATTTTATATCTATCAAAATAAATATCTCAAAATTTATCAATAATTTCTTTAGGGATAATTTTGTCATTTTATTTATTTTATACATGGTCAAATTTAATAATTTATGTTTTAAAATTATGTGGTTTGTCAACATAAAACGCAATTAATGGGATGAATGGAATGTCATTTATAATAAAAATATTTTAATATTTTTTAACTAAATTGGAATTTGATTAATTAATCATATTAACTTAGTTAAGCACATGAATGGATGTATAATTTTATATTAGAGAGACGAACTTATAATATTTAAATACGGATGAACTTATAAAATCTTAGAGGGACAAAATATAATATAATGTAATATAATATAAATGTTTACATAAACAGGTAATTGAAGAAAAATTATCCACCACCAAAACCAACCAGAGAGGAAAAGATATTTCATTTTCTACCAACTGCTCCTTCCATATCGTCTTTGACAAAAGAAAAAACATGAAATATAATTCTTCAAACTAATTAAATAAATAATATCCTAACTAAACTGTAAATTAGCGGTTAAATGTCCATTTATAAGTTACAAATAGGCATCAGGTTATCCGTAAAAGCTTAGAGGTTGGACGGTCTAAAAATATTAAATTCGAAAGACGAAATTTAAAAAAAAATAATCATAATTATTTTTAAAAATCCCGAGATCTAACCTACATTTATCGATTCTATAGATATTATTTTCTATTATATATTGTGTAAATATATTATACGAATTTGTTTAAGTTACGTCGTGTGAAAATTAAATATATAGTATAATAAATAAATATAATAAAATAAATCGAATAGACCATATTTAAAAAAATCATCAGTATCTAATTTATTGATTGAATTTATTTAGAGTTGTAAAAAAATTGATTTTTTAATTTATAATATCAATAAAAATTAATCATTGATAGATAATTTTTTAAACAAATATAAAAGATATTTATCAAAGATTACTAGGAAAAGATACCGGCTGGGACATCTAACTTGGTCTCTTTTTATCTTTCCAGTTGTTGTTAGTGGGAATTGGGTCCGCCGTAAAACAAACATCTTTGGTATTTTAAACCTGAAAAAGAGTCGGAAAGAAACAGTGAACAAACCGTATTCATCCACCGCAAATGTTACCTGGCCTCTTTTTATTTTTCATAGACTATGCATGCAAAGTATATTTGGATATGACTATGGAGTATAATCCTTTAAAAATACGAAAAACTTCAGAAAATATGACACTCACCAACTTGGTTCATCACCACCAAGGAAAATCAAAATTTATCCATGCAGTTTTAAATCTTATGGAGTTAAAAGTTTAGTAGAGCGTACCCGGTTAAATTCTTTTCTCTACAATGACGTCAAAGGATTGTACTAGACTCGAATAGCCCGTTGCGTTGACCTGAGCTTTCAGAACTGTCATCAGACCACTGCCAATTTTCTCTTAATCGAATGCAAGCCACAACCATCTCCGCTAGACGAGGATCGGGGATTCCTACAACAATGGAGGAAAGAACTCCAGGATGATGCATTAGCACCGCCTCTACCTATATGATCAAACAGATCAACGTTATAAGGTAAAACGAGAACCATTAGCAAGAACAGATCTGTATATACAGTATATGATAGAAAGTTGGGAACTGTATTGATGCTTACCTCTTCAGGGTATACATTTTGTCCTCCACTTTTGATTCGACCATTGGTTCGTCCAACAAGCCATAGGTTACCATGATCATCAACGAACCCAATGTCACCCGTGTCTAGCCAAGTTTCTTCAATAGAATTTAATGCCTTTTCAGGAATTTGATGATCCCAGTACCTTAGCATTACATGTGGACCTCTGGTGAGAATCCTTCCAACATTAGAAGAGCCATCATTGCATATCTTTATTTCAACATGTGGAGCAGGCTTGTCAACACAAACACCTCGCGTTTGACCGGACTTGGATTAGTTTCGGAAAACATCTGCGGTGACTTACCAGATGCCTCCAGCATTGGCTGAAAGAGGGTCATGAAGGCCAGAGAAGAACATGTCTCTGTCATCCCATAAGCGGAAAGAAGTTTTGTTTTTGGGAATAATTTGGTTGTGGCATCTTTAATAAGGTTGTCTGATAGGCCTCCTCCTCCATTTAATATCTTCCTCACACTGTCACTTCCCTTCCAACTTTTCTTCAGTCTGGTTGACAAGATTAGATCAGCCATTATTGCTGGGACAGTAATTAGAGAAGTCACGTGGTACTGTTCTATGGCTTTGAAGTAATTAGAGAAGTCACGTGGTACTGTTCTATGACTTTGAGGGCTAATGTCGCTTCAAACTTGGGCATGAATATATGGCAAGCTCCTACCATTAGCATGGCCATGGCTGAGGACAAACCACCAATGTGGCACAAGGGAGTAGTATGTAAATAAACCTGGAAATAACCAGACGATAAAGTATTAAGAAGTTAGTGGGATCAAAGGATAGAAGACAAAAAAGATAGGATGCACTGTTCCTTGAGCTGTATGACTTTTTGTTACTCCGACATTTTATTTTTCTTGAAGAATTCGTGTTCCACCCTATAAGACTCATACCCTATGTTTGACACACATTGGAAGTCCTAGTAGCATAGGTATGGTCTTCCACATTAATCAGGTTAATCCAACAAGGTAAATCCACTTTGGAACAACCATGTTTGAATTATTTTACCTCTTCATTGTCTTCAATCATATCCTTTAGATACAATCAAAAGGAATATACATATTTCTAGAAGGAAGGCGTGCATCATCCTCACTGTAACCAACAACTGCAACTAACAACTGCAACTTTTGCGAGGGATTGCACAAATAAAGCTGTATGGCTTATCACAACTCCCTTTGGCCTCCCAGTAGTTCCTATAATAAGCCAAGGAAAACGAAAACCAAGAACTAAGATATTTTGGCACATTTAAGGATGTATGACGAAATAAAAACAAAAGCTACACTTAAATTTAAAGTTAAAGACTCATTTTTCCCCTTCTTTGCTTTGCTTTATGACAAAATAAATGCAGAGAAAATAGTGAAAGGGGAAAATTTAGTGTACTTAATATTGCTAAGAAGCGATAGTTGATTTCTCAGTTCAAGATAAAATATTAAAATCCAAATAAGGAAATGATGTGCAACATGCATTACAGTAACAACGCCACATTCAGGAGCAAAATTAGCAAATAAGAGATGTTTAACAAGGCCGTAGGAATGAGTACCAAATTTACTGGCTTATCATGGCACATCATTCAAATTTTACAGTTCATCATAGATTTGTGAACACCGGGTTATCTGTGTTTATAAAGGAAGAAAGGGTAATCATTTTATGTGCAGCACCTATAGAGGCCCTAGTTTGAGAAACACGGGAAAAGATCAGGTTTTTTAAAGTAGCAACCTAATTTGAAAATACTAACTGGCAGGGAGGTAGGAATGAATAATGATGCATTCGCAGAACCTTAACTTTTATAACATGATTAATACGGTCAAAAACCTAATAATATGTACTCTTTGAATGATGCAAAAAAGAGAAGAGTAGAAATCCTACAGGCCGGATTTGAGGTAATGACTACCCAATTTATGTGCAACAATAGTTTATCTTGGAATTTTTCTGGGATCAGGTCGAAGAGGAATTCTATAATAGAAGTGGAAAAGAAAATCATAGATAAAGGGGAAGGGATTTTCTTCTCTACCCTTCACCTGCCCTTCATTTTTTGGTACACATAACACACGCCTTCTGCTTAAATATTAACTTTTATAACATGATTAATACGGACTGTGATTTAAATATTAACTTATAAAAATTTATCCTAAATCCTATATCAGTTCTCTTCTGCTTAAATGATCAAATAAGGACTTAATTTAAAGGGTTGTTCAAACAGTAACCTAACATTAATAAGTAATATTTACATAGATAGGAGTTTAATTTTTATGAAAAGTATTTTCTACTAAGAATCCTTATTTGAACAGATTAAAAGAATTAAATCATTATCTAAACAGACCTAAAAACATTAAGCCTTTTCTTATCTTTAATCGACTTTTTCAGAAGATTAAACTCCTATTTAAATAAATTAAAAATATTATATCTTTATTTAATCATTTAAAAGATTAAACCTTTATATGAACAACCTCTAAAAAAAATAGACCTTATTTATACATTTATCTTTTCTATTCTAAATTTAAAATAGTGAAACGATTATACATGTACTTGAAAAGAAATCAAGGAGAGCAGAAGATAATACAAGGCAACTTTCTGTCTCAGTATCTGTCATGAAACATTCCTTAATTTATTCAAACACGAGACATGAATCAAAACCTTGACGTAATGATTGCCTCAATCCTCAACTCCAAATAAAATGAACACTTCCGAGAAGAAAGAAAGAAAGAAAAGAAAATAAAAGAAAAAGTATTGCATATATTCAAAGTTAACACCTACGGAGCATATTGAAGCCAATACAATTACACTGCATATGCTTACTGATCGAGAGGCAGCCACTCCACTTCTAAATAGATTTCTCCAGATTCAACATTTTGGAGCTGGAGTGACACTTCTTGTCTCACCCTCCCATCAATGATGTTGACGATGCTATCCTCCATAACGGCATTATCATTGGACTTCAGCCATTTTCCGATCTGCATATTTTCGAACATTTGGGGGTCCCCGTACGACATTGCATATGTTATCGAGGGCTGGATATCAATCTCTGCTTCTCTCATTATATCATCAGCTGAGAAGGTGTCGTGATCATATACTTGCTACAGTGTAGAAGCTCAACAGGTTAGAGAAACTCATTGTAATTATATGCTTAAGATGGCACGAAATCTTGTATGAATGAATAATGCAAGCATCGGCAGATCAATCATATATCTTGTCATTGTAAATAACAATTAGTTTACTTAATTGATACTAACTAGTATAACCATGTCCAAGCATTGCATCGTATGCAGTTTCATTGAAAATTAATATCACTCCGACTCAATTGTGAATTTTGGACATGAATATATGTCCTGCATAAGTATGTTGGTTTTGTCCAAGATTTTCATGTATTCTATTTGGAGAGTCCTTCAAGGATCAAATCCCCATACCTATTTTCGCATGTGTATTGGGTACAGGTGTCAAACAAGGGTACTTGTAGAAAAATAAAGTGCTAAAGCAATATAGTTGATAATAACAGAAAGTTGACAATAAAAGTTGGCCCTCTAATCTAGAAGTTTTTTTTTTTTGAAAAAAATCACGCCAACTGTCATTAATGTTTGGGTTAGTATTTGTTTTCACTATTGATGTTTTAAAAGTCACAAATCAATCACTAACGTTATCGTTTGTTACAAATTGATCACTCCATGTTAACCGTCGTAACGGAAATCACTGCTGTTGCTAACTTGGATTGTCACGTATCACTACTTTTTCTTCTCTTGTCTGTCTGTTTCTAAAAAACAACACCGTGTTGTTTCATTCTGAAACATTGTTTTGAAGGAAACGTCTATTAACCAAATAACACTAAAAGGACTGAAACATTGTTTTCATCCTCCTCTAAAAGCCCAAAAACATTAATCGAAAGATTTAGAGGTTTATGGCTCAAAATGGTGCGGAAAAAGTGGGAAATTGTGTAAATCTAGCCCCCCAACCCTAATTCTTACATTTGTAGTGAAACATAGATCGGAAAATCTCAACCTTTTCATATTTCCTACCAAAACACACCCAGATTATATATTAAAAATATTATTTTATAAATTGTATGAAATACAAAAATAAGCAAACAGATATTCCTCAATAGCTAATAAAGCTTCTTCTTCTTTTAGATTTCGTGTGGTCTTACCCTGGAATTTTCATCAACATTGATAAAAAAAACTCATTTCAGCTATGAGAACCAGCAATGAGTCGACGTCCGGTGTCAATAACTCACAACAGGGAGAGGAAAAAAGGAACGGCCCAACTCAGTAAAACTCGGCATCTTTCCTCCCCTAATGATCACATGAAAACACAAACGTCGTTGGAATGCAAAAGTGTAGCCTTTGAAGGAAGAATTATAACACCTTAGACCTGTATGACACAGTCGGTTGATTTAAAGGGCTAAACGGAACCAACGAAGTGGTTAACTAACTTTAAACTTAATTTATCATGCTTTAAAATGATTATAAAATAAACTGAAATATAATAAAAATCTTTTCACTGAGAAACTCCAAAATAAAATATTTATCCTTCAAAAATATTATAGATCAACTTAACTGAATCTACAACTCAACTAGATAATAATGTTTACAAATATACATGCCTAATAAAAACACTGAGATGTACATTTGATCTACACTGGACTAGTCTGGACCTTGATCTATCTACTGCTTGATCTACTAACCTGTCCACAGAAACATCCGAATGCTGAGCTAACAAGTTCAGCGCCACACTAATGGCTAAAACATACTAACTGTAATTCACTGAAAGACTTAAATATTCAAGTCCACTGATATAAGATCTACTGCTATATGTTTTACTATTTGTTTTGTTCTACTATCTGTTCTGTTTTACTAGCCCACTCCTTGAGTGTTGGACATTGCACCCAAGCTAGTATGCTTTAAAATTGTCTTAGAGAGTATTCTTGAATACTCATTCTATACGTTATGGTAGACATCATGGTGCGTCTGAGGGTTCTGCATCTCGGAACTCACACACCCTTCTAGTCTACCCTGGATATGGCCCCCGAAATTCTCTGCATCGAAAACCATACCCCTGACTAACCCACCCTTTATTCTAAAGAGTGTTAAGGCCTTGGCAAACATAACTAGTCATAAGGCCTTGGCAAACATAGCTTGTCGACTCTACTAGCTTTTCTAAAGGAACTCGGGTGTCATGGTCGTTTTCTCGAGCATTCAAACAAGGCTATTTTTATTTCTCATAACTTTAACTTGTTTCTACGTTGAAATTAACATTAATGTTCTAACTTGTAGTCTTATCTAAAGAATTACTAAAGTGTTGGGGTGCCTCGAGTCTAAACCGTTCAAAATTGCCTTTACTGCTCAAAAAGACTGAAAGTATCGATACTATCCCTAGAGTATCGATACTCCTGCTAAAGTTTCGATACTTTATATAAGTACCGATACTTTAAAACATTATGTTCTGCCCAATTCGAAACTTTCTGAGAGTTTCGAAACTATGACTCAAAGTTTCGATACTCTTGCTCAGAAACTCACGAATCTGCCCAAAACGAAGAACATGTATCGCTACTTGCAGAAGTCATAAAACAAGTACTAAAAACTTCATTTTTCAATCCCAAAGACATTAGTGAGGTCCCCAAACATGCACTAAAAACTCCATTTCCCAATCCGAAAGACATTAGTGAGGTCCCCAAACATGCTTAAAGTTTTATGTGAATACAAAGAGCATAAATAAGACTTTATACCATGTTTATAACATTAAATGAATAATCTACTATGGAAACTGCTAAACATGCTTTAAATTTAACTTTCTAACACATCTTAACTTTCCATGATCTACACTTGGTATAAGAAAGCTATAAGTGTGTTATTTTACTGCCTTGGCTGCTAAAACACCTCTTGAATTAACTAGGATTCACCCTACCTTCAAGAAAAATCCATTTTGAAAACTAATTTTAAAACTTACAAAATGGAGGTTAAAGCAAAGCTTAAAGGATGTAAAGAAACATTCTATCTTGGCTACAACAACTAAGCTTAAATCCTTAGAACTTTTTACTTAAGAAAGGAAGAAGAAGAAGAGATGAGTGTTTGGTGAGAAAAATGGTGGGGTGGTTCACGTATAAGTATAAAAAGGGGAGGATTTTCAGGTTTTAGTTTTAGCTATAGGCAAACTACATTAATAGTCCTCAACTTCTAAATCATAAAACTCTTATTACTTAACCACCGAGGGACAAGACGACGGATCAACTGTCCTAGTTCTACAACGTTTGATAAATATAAATGTTGTAGATTAAGTTCAGCAAGACCAGGTTGTACTTTCTATCTATTTTCCAAGTTTAGGAATATAATTCTGGCTGGATGGTATTTAAAACATGTAATTTGAACAAATCATAAATGGAAAGGTTTTCAAGTTTATTGCACGAAATCTGAAACTAGATAAACTATTTAATCCCAGAAACGTATGGTGACAGCTAAATCAAGGTTTCCATGTAAACCCCACAAACTAAATAATTGAAAATGCCAACTTGTCATCAAACAGGGCATGAGCTCGGGGTAAAATCCAGCAACGCAAAACTAATAAACTTCCACATGCCATTGTTTGTTCTTCTTCAGTTGTGAAAGCTTCTCATCCCAATTCTCTCCCCTCTGCTCCGCTACTCTCTTCAGCGTATCTTGGATCCCGGGCATCATTCCCCTGAGCCCGCAGAAATATATATGTGCTCCCTCGTCCAAGAGCTTGAAAATTTCATCACTGTATTCCTCGATCTTATCCTGAACATACATCTTGCCTCCAAGCTTGTTCTTCTGCTCTCTGCTAAGAGCTCGATTGTATCGGAACTGATCAGGGTAGTCCTTGAGGTATTTGGCAAACTCATCATCGTAAAGGAGACTGTCACTGTTGGCAACCCCAAGAAAAAGCCATGCAAGGCCATGGAACTTGAATGTAACATCTTCCATGAACATGCGACGGAGGTAGCCTCTAAAGGGAGCTACACCAGTTCCAGTGGCTATCATTATGTGGTTGGCATTTGGGTTATCTTCAGGTAAAAGCATTATCTTGCCAGAAGGGCCTGCCAATATATTCTACTTGAGTTAATATATGATAATTAGGTAGTCCTGATAACCAATTAACCTGTAAAATAAATAGTTTAACTGACAGAAACAAGAGAGAGAGAGAGTTTAACATATGAATAAGGACTGAGCTTATGGATGTTCCAATTTATTTAAGGATCATACCAGTGATCTGAACTTTATCTCCAGGCTTGGAGTTGCATAGGAAATTGCTACATATACCACTTTTTGAAGGATCCTCCTTTCCAGTCTCAGCGTCATAATAGACAGCACGACGGACACACAAACTGGCTGTCTTGCCATCAAAAGAATCTCCATACCTAGTTGAAGCAATTGAATACAAACGAACATTGTGGGGAGAACCTGGTTTCTTTGGATTTTCACCCTACGACACAAGAAAAAATGAGAAATGGGACATAGAATAAATGGAAAACTTTAGATGAGAAATCAATAAAGTAGAAAATGAAACGAGTTCTAAGAATAAATATGACTTCGTTCTATGAGATCGAGAGCCGCTAACGTATACAATTGAACAAAAATAGGGAATCGTAATTAGCCCAGATAAACATTGCAATCCCCATATTCAAAAGTCAAAAACCATCTGATTCCTACGCTCCAAACATGATAGATCATCATAGTAACTTTAATGCATGCACTGAAGTTAAAGTATTCTACTGCACCAAACAACCTGAAAACAATAATAATAAAGAAAACAGCAACATATAGAGGAGACAGACTTACAGGAGGGATAACACCGTAGCTCTGCCCTTCCCAATATGGAACATTACCACCATGATCAATCACAATATGGCAAGTCTCACCAGGAGCTTTTGCACTGACAAGTCTCTCAACAGAAACAATGGTAGCGATGTGAGGTTCCTTGGACTTGAATAAATTTAGTGGAGGCTCTTTTTCAGTTTCCAACTCTAACGGTGACACTCCAACCTTGGATTTGCTGGCTTGTTGCACTGACATGCATACTACGTACTGATTTCTCTTCTGTGCATTTCGTGATTTCAGATCGAAAGAAAAGTTGGAAGCCCATGACTTGTTACCAAAGCTTATAATGTTACTCTGCCAAAAAAGGCAAGTGCTCAAGTATTAAGAACTGATTTACTAAGAGGATAAAGAAAAGTAAGCCTGAAATCTCATTCAGGAAGATACTGCAAGTCTTGCTTAGTTCCTGAACAGACAATACTAACAATAAACAGCTTCATAAGAAAATCGCCAAATACTGCTGTTTACCATGAGGACAAATCAATGAACACAATGCTGCATTTGACAAGCACACACACTTTGGCAACTGCCAACACAGATGCACATCTTTATAGCAGACGAACACACTATAACGTTAATTAAGCAAAAGAAATTTTGCGCTTTCAAATGAAGTTCAGCACCCTTGTCTCCATAATCCACTCCAGAGGCAAAAACTACATAGAAACTCACTAGAACGATGATTGATTAAGTTTAAATCTGTTTAGCTCTTTTACTTTCAGCACAATTCAAATATAGGAGATTTTAAACTTGTTTGGTAGCAGCAATTTTAAACGAAAAAGAAAACGAAGAAATGAAAGATCAATATGATCGTTTTGATCTCAGTAGTCAGTAACTTTGAATTCTTAAAACAAATAAGCGAGGAAAAGAAGGGATGATCGTTTGACTTTATCATTACAATTGTTTAATTGGTTTTGACAATTAACAAGCAATATAATACAGGAAAGATGACGCCATTCTTGTTTAGACGAATCCACTATCAGTCTCGGAAAATATATAAATTTAAAATATTAGCAGCACCTTTAGACAACTAAAAAGATGCTCAAAAGTATGGGATCAAGGTCAACGATCATAATTTTCAAAAAAAAAGTCAACGATCATACATTATCCCGACCCCAACAATGCATCGAAGTAGTTAAATCACTAAAATTCCATCCGTGGAATCCAAATTCGATATGCAAAACGTGTAACAGATCCTATACTACGTTCTAACTCTAGTCTTTCGACTTTCCAATGATCCAAATACCCATTACTGAAACTAAACCAAACAGACTGCCGATCTCACAGCTAAAAAATTATAGTAGTAATTTAGTGAATACCTTAATTACAGATCTCCTTAGAGAAATGTCGTTTGCAGTAGGAACGGCTACAGAAACCTGAAAGAAAAAAAAAACCCCAAAATGTCAGACTTGCATAAAACCCATTTCGATAAATTCGAGAACAGCTAAAGAAACGGTAATAATAACTTTTCTCCGTAATAATTTCTGAGGTAATCTTTCTTTCCTTTTTTTCCCCCTAGGAATCAAACAGAAAAGGGGGGGGGGAAGAAATAAGACCTGGGATTCAATTGAATAAGCCATGACGTAGAGATCAAAGAAAAAGCTTTCAGAGGATAGCTAATTCAGGGAGATCTTTGCTTTGATTGCTTGTCACTTGTCTTCTCTTGAGTTAGGATTTAAGGGACTGAGGGTTTAGAAAGAAAATTTTGATGTGATGATCTCTTGGGGACTGCCAAAAGACGCTCCTTCCTCAGCTTTGCCTTCTCGAGTGGCTGTTTAGTTGACCATAATAAGAAGCTTTATACTAATAATTAATCCTCTAGTTGGTCTGACCGGATAATAGGTTATCAAGTGGTAAATTATTACAAATTTTAAATATAATTTTTATAAATCAATATTTAAGGATCCAACATAGAATCAATTAATTTGTCTTTTATTATTTATTTTAAAAGCATTCATTTAATATTTTTTATAAATACAGTATTTTATGTATTATAATAGTTTAAGATGGCATATATATTTATATGAAGTATAACAAATTAATCATTCAAGGTAAATTATACATTAATTATCAGAATTTTATCTTTTTTTAGTGATAGAATTATTTTATTGATTTATTTTTTTATATTGCTGGTGGAAATGGGTTTTGAACACCCAGTAAAAAGGTGTAATATTTAAATCATTTCAAGTTGTTCATCATCGGATTATGAAGAGAGAGGACATGAAAAAGTGAGTAATGGAGTGAAAGCTACCGATGATGAGAAGGCTGCCGAAGTAATTGCACTTCAGGATGCAAACGAATCAAAGAACAAGTAGACCCAAAGATGTGTTAGAAAAACATGAAAAAGACAAAGGAAGAATCAAAAAGAGCTGACATTAATCATCCACGAGCTGAATGTAACCGTGGTACTTGAAGCAGTAGTAATATGAGTGATTCTTTATTTCTAAAGATGCAGAAATTTATATAAGGAGAATTTAAAAAATTATATTAAAAAAATTAAGGCTGTAAAGTTATAAAATTTTAAAATGTATGAAATTAGATACTCAATAAAAAGTATAAAAATAAAAATTTAAAATATAAGAAATTTTTAAAATTTTAAAAATTACGATCGCACCCAACAGTATCCCTCGATCCATTCCTGTATAACTTTAACTTAACTATCATTCTGGTTTTATTGCAACATTGCCGACATTTCAGGGCCGCTTTTGAAAATTCAAGCCCTCTCCTCCCTAAAGGTACTTCCACAAACAAAGCTTTTCTCCTCTGCACAACAAGAACAAAGAGCAGTAAAAGGAAAATATAGGTGAAGACAAGCAAAACCCGGTCGAGGAAGATGAAGAAACGTCAACTTTAGACCTCTACAGCAGAGGTGGTGAACCTAAATTTTTTTTTATAGATTAAGTTAATATAAACATAATAAATTTTTTATCTAAAATAGTTTATATTTTTTAAATCTAAAAATATAATAAAAATTATATATATATATATATATATATATATATGGATTAAATCTAGAAAAAATATTAAATGGATCAATATAATTTTTTAGCATAATTCATACATATTTTTATTTAGGGTAAACTAATAATTTGGTCACCCACCTATTACTTAATTTATGTTTGGTCACTTAATTATTATTATTTTCAAAATCATATCTAATCGTACATTTTAGTTCTATTTTGATCACTCACTATTAAAAAATTAATAATAATGTTAACATGACAATTTTTAATTATTTTTCAATCATAAAATGATTTTAGCTTATGATGACACATCAACATCATGCTAAATTTGTAAAGACGAGTGAACAAAACAAAACTAAAATTTAATATTAAAAAATAGTTGTCCCTTTTTCCCATATATATGAGATAAGGGGGAGGTAATATAGTAGGTTACCCCCAACACCAGGTTGAGAGCACCTTCCGTAAGAGACCTCCGAATTATGAAATGCCTTCTGTGGGACTCGATCCCACGACCTCAAGATTAAGAATCTTGTGCTCTACCAACTGAGCTGAATGGTCATTTCTAAAACTTAAAATTAAGTTTAATTTAAAATAAATTAGTTATGTGACCAAAATAAAAAGACTTAAATATAAAAAATGTGCCTAACGTATGCCTTTAGTTTTAGTTTGGTGATTAACGTTTTTTTCGTTTTAGTTCAATGTCTAACATTTTATTCCGTAACTCAGTTTGAATTAAACCGTGAATTACTGTTAATTTTGACCCTTAAATAGCACATGACATTTGTTTAATATAAAAAAATGAATTTTTTAATTAAAATAATAAAATAAATAATTAATGAAAGTTAAAAAGTTAACTTTTAACTTTTTACCCTTTAACCCTAATCTCTGTAACTCCAATAAATCCATGGCTTCCCTTTGGGCAAGATCCAAGTTTTAACCACCAGCACAGCTCATTTTGGGAATATCCTTGAAAACCCATTTAGGAAACCAGGATCCCATTTTCCCAAAGCAGCTGCATCATCCGAACCGAATCCAGAAGCCGAATCTGTTGAAGCCGCAGCAGCTAAATCAAAGGCCAAAACTTGACTGCTCGCGCTCGTGTTCGGTTTTTGGTACTTTCAGAACACTGTCTTCAACATTTACAATAAGAAAGCGTTGAATGTGTTCCCATTCCCATGGCTTCTCGCTTCTTTTCAACTCTTTGTCGGTTCCATTTGGATGTTGGTCCTCTGGTCTTTAAAGTTGCAACCATGTCCCAAAATCACAAAGCCTTTCATTATCACACTCCTCGGGCCCTCGCTGTTCCACACAATAGGCCACATATTGGCCTGTGTTTCGTTCTCCAAGGTTGTCGTTTCCTTCACTCATGTTATCAAATCATCGGAGCCCGTGTTTTCCGTAGTTTTTTTATTCGTCCTCGATGATACATACCCTTTAAAAGTCTGGCTTTTTATTCTCCCCATTGTTCTGGGATGTTCTCTAGCTGCATTAACTGAAGTATCCTTCAATCTCCAAGGCTTATGGGGTGCTTTGATCAACAATGTGGGATTCGTGTTGAGAAACATCTATTCCAAAAAAGTTCGCAGAACTTCAAGGAAGTGAACGGATTGAATCTTTATGGTTGGATCAGTATAATCTATATATTTTATCTGTTTCCAGTGGCTGTTGTCGTTGAAGTGTCCAAATGGGTTCAAGGAAATCACAATGCAATCCAAGCATTGGGGAAAGCTTCGACAATTTACATGTGGATTTTTCTTTCTGGGATTTTTATCATCCGTACAATCAATCGTCTTATGAGGCGCTTTATGGGATTTTACTTGTTTGGTGTTTGGCGTTGCCCAAAAAGGTGGAAGAATGAATGGGAAGTGAGCGGAGGGAAGAGGGAAAATGTGAAAAAAGGTTTTTAACTTTTTAATTTTTCAATTTTTATTAATTAATTTCTTATTATTTTAACTAAAAAATTCATTCTTTAATATTAAATAAATGTCAGGTTGTATTTAACGGTCGAAAATAATGGTCCGCACGATCAAACTCAAACTGAGTTACGAAATAAAACATTAGACATCAAACTGAAACGAAAAACATATTATGTATCAAACTGTAACCAAAGTCATACGTTGAGCACTTTTTTATATTTAAACCAAATACAAACTAAGTAATTAATGAGTAACTGAATAAGTAATTTACCTTTTTTTAAGTATAGGGTGGGCTATGCCCTAGGTAGGACTAGTCTTGGATAGCCCTTAACAGCAGGACGTTGAATTCTTTTTTATCACAGCAGGACGTTGAATTCTTGTTTTGACGTCAAGAAGTCGAAAATACCTTGACTTATAATTTTAAGGTGGTGTCTAAAGTCTAATTTAATTTAAAGACAAATTTTGGTAGAAATATATTAAAAATATTTTGTCTAATCTTTAAGCTTGGACGAGGAATATTCGGAAGCTTATCGTGGAAACGGGTAGCATGGAAGCAATTTCTATCCTTCATAAAGAGCCGGGTGCGGGCAATGACGCTTTCATGACAGCACACGTCCAAAAGTTCATGCAGAGAGATTGGTGCTTGTGTCATGTTCCTAGAGAAGCTAATAGAAGTGCTGATGGCCTTGCAAAAATGGCCTGGGATCTCGCTGAGGGGTTGCACATTCACGTGGAAACGCCAGTTGAAATCCAAAGTCTGCTTCATGCGGATGCTGCAACAAATTTGAGTCTTTAAGTTTTGTTTTCCCCTTTATTTAAAAAAATTAGGTTTTTTTCTAAAATTGTAAGTTAAGTGTACTTTATATACTAATTTATACAAAGTAAATTTAAATAGTTAGAAATAAGATAAGTGTGCTTTATATATTGCACTAATTAAATTCCTTAATAATTAAATGAATGATTGTTATTCTTAAAAGTTTCGGGTTTGAGCATCAACAACTGTAGCAGGGGTGATCGAGTGTTCATTATCAAATGGTTAAAAGTATTTAAAACAAATATTACTTTATAATCACCTTATATTAATAAAAAAAAGTGTGTTTTATATTATAGCTTATTATATGATGGGTAAGAACTTTTTTTGAGTATAACCATCAATATTTAATTTATTGATCGATTAATTTGTATCAGTACTAAAAAGGTAAGGACGTCTCTCCCAATTCAATTTGCTCCATTCGCAAATGCCATGAGCTGATGATTCGAACTCTTTATATTTCTTAAAAGATCTAATGTTTCATCTCATTAGACCAACTAGTTGTTAATATTTGTAAAAACTTACAGATAAATTTTAGAATTACTTGAAATATTATTATATATGTATTGATGTGAATAACTTATTATATTTTCTAACTATGTTTAAATGTAAAATTCGGAAGTTTTGATTAATGTACTAATAATATTTTATATAAATTTAATGAAATGATTTATTATGATGAAATTATATTTTATAATCTAAAATATAAACGGTAATATATTTTAAAATGATTTTAATATTTTTAATATTTAAGTTAATTTTTTTTTATTTTGTGATTCAAATTCTCTAAATATTCTTAATATAATTTATATATTATTATTTTAAAATAATCATAAAAAATAAATAAAATATTAAACTCTGTTTTATTTTTAAAGTTTACATTAACTATAATTTAATATATATATATATATATATATATATATGAAATAATATTAAACACAACCTATACAATATTGTGCAACTAAAAACCAATTGAATGGCCTAGCCCAATAACAAAGCTATATCCATTAAACCAAAGGGTCACTGGTTTGAAACTCCGAATGTCACTTTCTATTCTAAAATCTTTTTCTTACACGTCTTGGTTAAAAATTTTATTTAATTAAAATATTAAAATAAATTAAATTTACGCTCCAATCATATAGTCACACGTGACATCTTTGGATTGTAGGATTAATTTTTTTGAATTAATTAAAATAATGACTAAATTGATAAAATGCATAAATATTAAGGACTAAATATAAAATTATGCCACTTTTATTAACAACCACATCATCGTCTCTGTTAAAATTTATCGGCCAGTGATTGTATTGAACCATTTAAATATTTAGATGATTTATTTGATCACTTTTAAAAGTTGATGGTCAAAATGATTAAGAACCTTAATTCGGTGGTCACCAATATAGTTTACCTAATCTTTTATTATCATTGGAGCAGATTTTAACACTATTTATTAAAATTTAATTATTAAATTTATCGTATGTACTTGTTGATAGTTATACAAAAATTTAAATATTAAATGATTTTTATATACAGTTTTAGTCATCGACGGTCAGCTGTCACCTTAAATTGCTTCCTCTCACTCTGTGGGACCCATATTTCGTGGTCAGATTTATTCCAGTTGTCGAACGGTCAGCTCCCTTCCTGCCCGAAGTCTTTTCTGATGAAATTTAACTCAATCCCGAAAGTACTTTCTATCCCGTGCGTGCACGTCCATGATAATCTTCAACTTTTGTTTTATAGAGCAGTCCATAAAATATTTGTATTTGAAGATTTGATTTTAATTTACTTACATAATTAAAGAATTAAATTAACTCATATGGTGGCTTTCATCACAATATACTGTTGTAAAACCCCAAATGGTTATCCCTTATTCTCATATGTAATGGAGTAAGGGGAGGTAAGATAGTAGGCTGTCCCCAACACCATATTGAGATCAGATTCCGTAGAAGACCTCCGAATTATAAAATGTCCTCCGTGAGATTCGATCCCACGACCTCAAGGTTAAGAAACTTGTGCTCTACCAACTGAGCTGAATAATCAATCTCTTGTAAAACCCCAAATGTCATTCATTAATCAAGCAGTATTACATAAATCTATCATATAATTATAATAATACATCAGAAAGAAAGGGTTCTACTTATATTAATATAAAATTAGAATAATTTCAAACAATGGTTTATCTTTGATTAATTCAACCTTCATATATTTATTAATATAAATTTAGTAATTATTTTTTTATAAATAAATAACTTTATAATTATTTTGATATATTTATAATGTCGATAAAAGATAAAATATATTAATCTAGTGTATACAAATTTAGTTTAGATATTAGAGGTTCTATCAAAAGATTATGTTTGTGAATTTAAATTGGGGGTTTAAGTTTAGAATATAGAGTTTAAAATATACAACATAAGATTTTAAATTTTAGTGTTTGACATAAAATAAAATAATTGTATAAAATAAATTTTACACAATCAATATACTAAATAATAATCCTAAAATAAATAATTAAATATTTTAATTTAATAAAAAAATTAACTTGCATAATCTACATAAAGAAAGCATGAATTTTAATGATTAAATTATTAAAATATCAATATTAAAAACCAACAAGTGTAAAAATTGAGTTTTATACTAATATAAATGAATCACTCTTTAATTAAGAATGTTTAAACATATTAATTAAAATATAACTAATCACTGAAAATTATAATAATTTTAATTACTAATCGTAGACACATATAATTTTTTGACATGACACGTTCAATCTTAAAGTAAAAACAAATCTAAATTTCTATGCCGGCAGATGTATACAATTTTTTATGGTAAATTATCGCGTTTAGTATATAAATTATCAGTTTTAATCCATTAAGTACTTAAATTTTTAATTTTTTAAAAAACTATATTTAAAGTTTAATTTTTGTTTCATTATAGTATCTAGTTCAAAATTTAACGTTAAGTTTTAAAAAAATTAAAGTTTAGGTACTAACACAGACTGAAATTGATAGTTTAGGTATTAAACTCATTAAGGTTTTTAATGTAGAACTCTAAAATGAAACAAAAACCGTTAACGATTCTTTTGAAAATAATTAAAAATTTAGATATTAAAACGAATTAAAATTGATAGTTTATGTATTAAAGGCGTAGTTTACCCAATTTTCTATTGAAGGATTTAGGCTTTATTTACGACTAAATTTTTTCTTAAAGTCAAATATACCGTTGATATTATAAACAATGGAAAAAGAGTGAATTTTTTATGATATATATATATATATATATATATATATATAATTAAGAACAAAATATTATATGTTTTAAATATTATTAACTATTTGACAATGAACGCTCAATCACCCTACTGCAGTCGTTCGTGCTTAAACCCGTGACATCTAAAAACAATGACTCTTTAACTATTGAGGTAAGTTAGTTCGTGCTCAGACAAATATATTTTTATTTAGCTTTCAATTTAGTTATATAACTTAATATTAATTTTAAAGAATGATTTTAAGTATAAAATTATTAAAATATATATTAATATTTTACAAAAAAAATTCAAGTATTATAACTATAAAACATTTCAAACAAGCAATGGCAAAAAGGGGATTTCAAATTAGGGTCCATGTGCACCCCAATGTACCGTAACTTTCTTTCTATACGCCAAAACTTACTAAATAAATAAAGCAACAATTCCTTGGCCATAACAATTCTGCTCCCAAACATACAGAGCGAAGATTGGTATTTCAATTTTAGTTTCAGCTCCGCCCGACAAAACATCAAACGATCATCTAATAGTTCCCGACGATTCTGTTTGAGGTAAATTTCGATTCTCGATAAACCCTAGCTGTGCTTATCTCTCTTTCCAAAGTCGTTTCTTTTAATATTTCCTTTTCAAATAAACACGATTTATACATTTTTGTTTCTTTAATCTTTTAAAATTCGGACTATTTGGAAATGTTTTTCTTCCTCCGATAGGATGTTGAGAAGGTTTAAGGAGAAGATGATGCGTAATGGGGCTCATTTACAAACTCGTCTAATTTTATCGCTCCTTTTGAATTTGTAAACTCATTTTGCATGGATATGACTTTGTTAATGTTGTAGACGCATTGATCCCGTTTTATAGTTGCTGAATTCATCATTATAACGAAACTATATCTCAGTTTTTGCGTTTGAATAATTACTTGTTCTACTAAATTGACTTTTATTTTTTTATTGTAGGCATAATTCTCCCGAATTCCGGCTGGTGGTTTGCAAGAATTAGTAAATCACTAAGGTACTTTTGGTTGTTACTTCTGCTACTCTTTTTTTAGTCCCTTAAGTGTTCGGATGTAGAAGAAGCATATATATTTGAAGAATTTAAACTTTAGATTATAATATTTTAGAGAAAAAATGGTTTACTATAATGGAGAATGGATTAGAATCTGTGTAGCGATCCGTTGATCTTTTTCCTTCAATATTTTATAATTTATGACTAAAATAATATAGGCTTTGCTTTAGATGTAAAACTGAGTAATTGACATAAATTCTGTCTCTGTTGGTTTGATTAAAGTGCTGTGTTTCTTTATGCTGCACTAACATCGACTCAGCTGGTTGTGCTGCCTGATTTGAGTTCGCAGATTCTCCTCTCTTCACAACCTCATGACTTCCTCTTCGCATGATCATTCTGGTATTTCTTCTTGTCAAGTGTTATATCAACTTCATGTTGTACGGTAAAAGTGTAGTTATGAACTCTGTGAGTGGGAAAATATATTGAATTCACTTATGTCATTTTCATTCTTGAATTTGCTTCCCCCCAGGGTGTTTAACTGAGATTCGGTATTTAAATTATGAGATTGGAAGGATCCTTTCACTTCCAACCTGTTGAATTCCTGTGTATTAGTTATTACCTCATTGCTATTTTATACGTCATGGACTCATGGTATCATTTTGTGAGGGTTTTCCCTGTGCAGTAAGGAAGCATACTGGGTAGTTTACTTGGGATTTTATATGGCTCTACGATTTCATTTTATGACCTTTTTCTTTGGTTACAGTTCATTTTGAAATTTAAATTAACTGCATTCTATTAGGCATTTCCTCATTGTTAATTTATCAGGATGATGGCTCCTTGTGTTGCTGTATCATATGAATGCAATACAGGGCCATTTGATGGGTAATGTAAGCAGCATTGATTTATTTTACTTCTCAGTTCTCTCTATTTCCAACTGCATTGCTTTCTATCTTAGTTGCCTGAGTGCTTGCATTTTATTGATTGATGTCTGTTCATCATTTACAGTTCTCTCTTATGGTGTTGACCTTTACTAATTTATTTTTGCCAGACAAAACTGAAGCTGATGAACAGAAAAAAAACTCGGAGTTTAGGGATCACTCCTCATCTCCTGCAACCGGACTTTCTCCTTCCATCACAACGCCAAACATCCCTTACACAACACCTCAACATGCTATGGTACCATCTTTAGAGTTATTTTTTTCAGCGATCACCTTTATATTTTCATGCTTGCTTTCTCTTTGAATTAACTTTGCACTGTGTCTTGCTTGAGCTTGCTTATATTGTTTAAACTAGTTTTGATCAATTAATCATCATCAAAAAAAATTCTAGCACGAACCAAGATCTCTATGGTAAAGGGATGGTTGTTATCCCTAGAGATCCCGATTTCAAGCACGACTTCTGTAGGGGTGTTTTAGCGTTCAATGTCAAATTATTGAGTATTTCGAACAAATATCTTGTAATCATCCCAGACTAATAAAAAGAATATAAGTTTTTTGGCCTTAGATACGTTTTACGAGTACTGAACCACTTCTATCATCTTTTCTGAAAACTGTTGGCAGTGTTTTGTTTTATCCAATTCTTTAATTAAGAGATAAACTACTCAAAACCCTCTCATCCCTTATGCCTTTCCCTTTGCCACACTGCATTTACCTAGATATTTGATTTGGGAGCTGTTTTTTTTTAACAGAAATTTGAAATAAAAATTACCCGTTTTATTTAAGAATGCATCACTCAGACTTGCAGGGAGATTAGTTAGGGACCACCTAGGGTGTCAGCCTGTCCTACCACTGGGTCGAGTCTTATTTTCAGTTTGGTGCTTTTATGAATCTTTGTCTAAGATTTTACATTGTCAAAAACTTTTTATTTTGCTAAAAGTTGTATAGCTGAAACAGATTGCTAACGTTTAACCTAGAGAGGTATCAAAATATGCTAAGGATCTTTGATATATTTTTTGTTTCCTTGACTTGTGAAACTGAAGGCACCGGCTGCTTACCCCTATCCAGATCCCTATTATAGAAGCATCTTTGCTCCCTATGATGCTCAATCATATCCTCCACAGCCCTATGGTGGTCAGCCTATGGTATCTCTCTCTCTCTCTCTCTCTAATTATGATTTTCAGGCTAAAGTTGGATTATCTTGTGCTTCTGTTTTAGGTACACCTTCAGTTAATGGGTATTCAGCAAGCTGGAGTTCCTTTGCCTTCAGATGCAGTTGAGGAGCCCGTGTTTGTTAATGCAAAACAATATCATGGCATATTGCGACGTCGACAATCTCGTGCGAAAGCTGAATCAGAGAATAAACGTGCCAAATCTAGGAAAGTAAGTAAAATTTAAGTTCTATGATTTTCTTGTGTGTTTTGGGGGGGTGTCAATTCAAATGCTTGCATTTAAATGTGATATTGACTCATTTTATCGCTACTGCAATGTTGCGCTGATTTTGCAGCCATACTTGCATGAATCCCGTCATCTGCATGCATTAAGACGGGCCAGAGGATCTGGGGGTCGATTTCTCAATTCGAAGAAAAATGAAAACAAACAGAATGATGCTTCATCAGCCGATAAATCACAGTCCAATATCAATCTGAACTTTGACAAAAACGAGACAGCTTCTATGGAGGGAAAATGTTGAAAATTTGAAAGCAATAAGCAGAGAAAATAGGCTCACTCCAGCGACATAGTCTCAGTAGTTGGTAATGCTTGATTCTGTCTAGCTCTGTACTTAACAACTCAGTAGCGTATATAGATTTCCAGGCATTAGGCAGAGGAGCATAGGAAGAGTGTTGAATTGCTTTAATAGTTACGTTGGACATTTTTTTAAAACTTGGATAATAAATTAGAAATGGTTTAATGGATTTGGAGTTAATTTCACCATACACCCTCAAACTATATAGAATTTTTTTTTGGGGGGGAAGGTCATAGTTTGGGGATGAATTTGGAATGTTCAAAAGTTTGGGAATTGATTTAGAATGGAGTCATAATATGGGGCATTAAGGACCGATTTAGGATAAGGGCCTTTATTTTGGAGACATATAAAGCAATTAACTCGGTGGATCTACTTATATAGCAACGACATGGCTAAGGTAAATGGAATGATTTGACTTAAAGATGCAAAATTTGTGGTCAACATTTGCACATACTGTATGATTCGGTTGTCACTTGTACAAATGACTTTTTCAACCAATGAGTGCTGTTGGAAGAGAAAACAGAAAACCAAAAGTGGTATTTCTATACTATTTGGAGCAAAAGATATTTCATCATCGATGACCAGATTTTAATTGGTCAATTAAAATTTCATCGACAGTTTTGCAGTGTAAATTTATTTCGTAGAGACGAGCCTCTGTATTATAAGTTTATAAATTAATACAAGCGAGCAATCTAATTTGAAGCAAATAAAACAACCAATGAAGGCACGCAAGACACAAGTTCAATCAAATTAAGATATTCCAACAAAACGGTTCACAGATTAGATCCAAAGCCTTGCTGCTCTCTCTCGTCGTATGATACGATCATGGAAGGAACTCTCCATTTATTCCAATTCACAACAAATACAAAGAAAAAGAAAATCAATGCCAAAGAGCAAAGGATGAAGAAAGAGAAGGGCATTTACCAGAAATCATTTCTAAAAATTAACACTTGAGATCCAATGGTGGGGAAAAGGGCAATAATGTGACATTAACACGTAAAAGATGGAATAGTATCGTGCCTGCCATTTCCTGAATCACTCTAAGATGCTAGAAAACAGACTGATTAAATGTTGGTTTACTCGCTAGCACCGGCTACAGATAAGAGTCTAGTCACGCATCTTAGAACCCACCTGCTCTCAAATTGAAATTGGTGGGTGGTGAAGAGAATCAGGAACTCCGATCAGCAACCATGTACGCACGGCTGCATGAGAATGACAACTTGATCAACCAAGCAATGCCCACCCCCATCAGATCAATGTAGCCACATAATGAGTAATATAGCCCAATTAAACCAATTCTTGAGAATTTTACATTAGTTATTTGTTTCCTTGGCAGGATCTTCAACATCTTTGGCAATCGCAGGGTCAGAATCGGTTCCCAAAGTTCTCATCGTTAGTGACAAGAGGACTCGCAGATGGCTCAAGGGAGTTTCAGACGAGGTTTTCATTTGTTGAATGTGATGTCTCCAAAGCAGTTTCACTTGTATTAACAGAGGAGGAGGAGGAGGGATCAGGAGTACCATCTGGGTTCTTATCGACCACTTTCATTTGCACTTCATTTGGGACAATATCACATGCTTCATTGGAACCTGGGGTCTCTCTCCATTCAACCCATGTAGGTGGTTTATCACTTGCACTGGGTCCAGCTTCTTTAGAGTCATTAGACAGACCACTGGACTGATCCATTATTGTCCCTTCGCAAACCTGAGAAGAAGTTGCAGTATCATCCAAGTCATCATCTTCACCTTCACCACTGACAACAGCAGCTCCTTCAGAATTAGGTGATGCAGAAGCCAAAGAACCAGTCGAGCATTCATTGGAAACTCTATCATCTTCAAACACAAACCAGTTGGAATTTGTGAAAAGAGAACCACTGCAGACAACAAATAAATGCCCGCCAATCAGGTCAAGAAATTAAATCAACTTGATAAAAGATTCAAAATGGCTAACAAAGTGAATAAATTCTAATTCCAACAAGTTACATTCCAAAAAATAAAAAATATTTCAACCTACCTTTCTTGGTCATCTCCTAGTCGCAGAGAAGATATTACAACCTCAGCAGATTTATCATCAAAGTAAACATCCTAAAAAGTAGAGCAGCAGTTTTCAATTATTGACAAAAATACAATATCAAATGTTAAAAGGAAGAAGGAAAAGAAAGGCAGGGAGAGGGGTTGTTCTTCACCATATTAGATAGAGATTTTTTCTAATAATACCAGAAAAGCAGGGCAAAATTTTTAGCAAAAACTTGTAACTTCAGCCTAAAATGACACTAATTGCACAGAGTGGAAGAGTCCGAGATAGTAAGTTTGCAAAGTTTTTTTCCACAAATTATTCAAACAAACCAACTGTCCAAGTCCAACTATTATCTCTAAATTTCAGATAACACATAACATTTACCTCATCATCTCTTTCAAGTGAGTCATGTACCTATGCACGGAGCACAAAACAAAAATATGAGAGAGAGTGTCAGAGAGAGAGCGGGAGAGAGAGGGAGGGTCTTAGGAGGCCAGTCCTCCGACTAGGATTGGACGGTATTTGTAGACTATCTGAGTAAAAGGGTTACCTGGAGAACAGTAAAGGAAATTTTTCAACAACTAGAGAGTGTTTTGCGTGTTTACATTCCGAGTAGTTCCAATAAGCCAAACTATAGAAACCATACGTTTGCTTTCGTTCAGTTTGCAAAGGAAGATGGGATGAAGAAGGCGATAGCAAATGTCAATGGTATTTGGATAGACGGAAAGAAAGTATTGGTAGGAGTAGCTAAATATCAGAAGCCGAGGCTCAGGCGAGCTGTCAGTAGTAACGATAGAAGGGAAGAAGATAGGTTGAAGAGGGGAGGGACTTGGAGAAGAAGAGTTGGATCGGGGGATCTCAGTCGATTGAGGGATGATAGATCATATAAGGATGCGTTAGTCTCTTATGATGGGCTGAGGGAAGGTCCGGTGAGTAAAGAGATTAGGGAGGGTCCAACAAGTAAGGGCGCAGGGATGAAGAATTTGTGGGAGATGTATATTCCCTCAGAGGAACGGGACTGGGTGAAAAGATCATTGACTGGCATTATTAAATCCCATTTCAATTTGGAGATAGTGCTGAAGGGGCTGGCGAGTGATGGGATAAAGGTTAAGGGAGCTAAATGGGGTTATGCGTGGAACTCATGCATCCTAACCTTTGGTACGGTGGAAGAACTAAATGAGGCGTGGTTGAGCAGATTGGAAGAATTTTCTTTTTGGTTTGATTGGATTGATCTGCTTCTGAATACAGAAGGTGTACCGATGGCATTTTGTTCAGTTGAATTAGTTGGAATTCCCTTATTATGTTGGGATGTCTCTTTTCTGGAAAAACTTGTTTCAAGGTAGGGGAAGCTGGTCTGTATTCATGAGTCAATGGCCAGAAGAGAGGACATGGCGGCGGCAAGGGCATTGTTGAGGGTGGCCAGTCCTTTTGATATATAGGAATCTATTACTTTGGGGTCGTATGGGAGGTCTTTCAAGGTAAAAATTAATGTGGGGTCGGTTGGTATAAAACAGGAAAGTTTTTTAACAGCAAGTTCAATGGTGGCTGGCGAGGGTGTGTCCAGAGATGATGCACTATCAGAGGAGGAAGATGATCGTTGTTCAGGCGGGGTAGGTAGTCCAGGCATGTTAGCTGAGGATACTAGGGGCAGTATAGACAGGTGGTTGGTAGGGGATGTTGGTACATCTATGGCAGGCGGCAAAGGGGGTCAGTATTTAATATGGCAGGAAGGAGAAGGTCAACCTAGTGGAGTGAAGGTGTCAGATTTTTCAGAAGAAGGTTTGAATTTTAGAGGGGATTATCGGAGTCTTGGGTTAAGGAATAATTGTTTTTTTGAAAGTGATAAAGCCCAATCAGAGGATTTGAGTGAGCCCAACTCTAACAATACTAGAATTGTTCAATCTGGGCCAGCTGTTAATCTAAATAAATTGGGCTATGGCAAATATAATGCATATCGGGTGGAGGCTCTAGGAGGGATATAACAAACTGTTTTGAGGGAATCAAACCTGCAGAATTCGGTTATTGCTTTGCACAGTTCTAATGCAAATTCGATTGATGGTGGGTTCAATGATAGATTACAATATCAGTTTAGAGGGATTTTAAAAAAGCCAAATGAGGATATGTTAAAGGAAGTTGTAGTCTTGGATAAGGAGGTTAGTAGTGGGGAACAAACAGAAGTGAGTCAGACAAGAGGCAGATCGTTGTTTCCGCATAGAAGAACACTTTATTCTAAAAGTGTACCCTTAGAGAGGAGGAGAATGACCAGCTACAGAAGATTTTATAGCTGATCTAGGGTGAGAAATTACTAGTTTGAGAATGAACAGAAAGGAATTTGTGCCAGAAAGGATGATATTTTGAAGCTCTCTTTAGATAATATGAGAGGTGGGATGGAAAAGGATATTATTTGTTCAGATACTAATTAAAACTCTTCTATGGCATCATTTAATCGTAATAGTTCTTCAGAGGATTTGGCAGTAGCTCCTATTTCTGTTGTAGGGTTAGGAAGATCTAAAAGAAGGGAGAGAAGAGTGTTAACTAGGGTATCAGTGGATATGGTCAATTCACCTATTGTATTTTCTCCTCAATTTTTGAATGCGGTGGAGGAAGCAATGGCTACACGGGAAGTTTGTCAGATGTTAGGCATTTCGTTCAAGGAAGGGAAGAAGACTTTCATAGAAAAAAATCTGAGTCTCGAGAATGGGTCGGAGTCAGCAAGGGATGGATGATTTGCAGGTACTCATGTTTTGTTGTTTGGTGGGTTGGGTTTTGGTTGTGGGAGTGAAGTCTTTTTATGAATAGATTAAGCATTCTATCTTGGAACATTAGAGGTTTAGGGAGGAGAGAAAAATATGTTGTTGTCTCAAGGCTAGTTAAGAAGGTTAGACCAATTTTGATTTTTATCCAAGAGTCAAAGCTCAAAAAATGTCATGTGTCGATTACTAGGAGGATTGGAGGAAATTTATTGAAGGAAATGATGGTGTCTCCAGCTCAGGGATCAAAGGGTGGGCTGATTTCTATATGGAATGATAATGTGTTCAAAGTCACAAAGAAACATGTGCATAGTAGGTTCTTGGCACTGGTGGGAAAATTTCTGAATGATCAAGAGGAATTCGCTTTTATTAATGTCTATGGTCCTGTTATCGAATATGAAAAAGAGGAATTTTATGAGGAGCTGCTACACTTTGTACTTTCGATGAATATATCGGTGTGTATAGGGGGTGATTTTAACGCGTATCTTGATCCGGAAGAAAAGCTTGGGAAATCACAAAATTGGCACACAATAGATATTTTCAAATCTTTTGTGAATCAAGCAAATCTTATTGACTTACCAATGTCAGGAGGGGCTTTTACGTGGTGTAGCAACAGAGAAGATTCTACATGGGTCAGATTAGACCGATTCCTTATTAGTGGTAGTTTCCTAAACAATTATCCGAAGATCTCACAATCCATTCTACCGATTTCTATTTCTGATCACAATCCAATTTTGCTGGAAGATGTTAGTATCAATTGGGGCCCCAAACCTTTTAGATTTTTTAATTATCTTTTAGAGGAAAAAGGTTTTGATGGCTGGGTGGAAGACTTGGTGATAGTTGAGAAGAAAAAAAGGAATAATGGGGGATTTTCAGGATGTTACAAGTTACAAAAAATCAGATCAAAAGATGGCCTGGAAGTAGTCATTTAGGGATGTCAGATTCAATTTCGATGCTGGAAGGGAAGGTACAAGAACTGGAAGGTAAGTCCCAACGTGGAACCTTATCTAAGGGTGAATGTGATCAGTGGGTTGAATGCAAAAAAGAACTATGGAGGTTGTTAAGGATTCATGAGAGTGTTTGGTGTCAAAAGTCTAGAAGTAGGTGGATTAAAGATGGAGACAGAAATACTAGGTTTTTTCACCTAAGTGCTATGAGAAGGAATAGAGTTAACTCTATTAATTTATTGAAATTTGATGGAGAATTAATATCGGATGCACAGAGAATAAAAGGAATTGTGTATAATTTTTTCAAGTCTTCTTACAATTACAATTCAGCCATGGAGGTAGAGGACTTGAATTTGGTTTTTGTGCAATTAACAGCAACTCAATGTGCATTTTTGGAGGAGAAATTCTTAGAACAAGAAGTTTGGCAAACAATCTCTTCTTCGGATAGTTCTAAAGCTCCTGGTCCGGATGGTTTTACCATGACTTTCTACAAAAAATACTGGAAAATTCTTAAGAATCAGATTATGGAGTTTTTTTTTTCCAGATTTCTTTAAAGGAAAGAAGTGGGTTCATGGGGTTAATCACGCATTTATTACCTTGATTCCTAAGAAAGGTAATCCCGAGAGTATTGAAGACTATAGATCGATTAGTCTTGTGGGTAGTTTATACAAAATACTGTCAAAAGTTCTTTCTAAGAGACTAATGTCGTGTGCAATGATATTATTACTTTGTCACAGTTTGCTTTTATTCCGGGAAGGCAATTGTTGGATTGTGCTTGTTTAGCTAATGAAGGAATTGAGTTTTGGAGGAAGCAAGGACTTAAAGGGGTCGTATTCAAAGTGGATTTTAGGAGAGCATGTGATACTGTGGAGTGGCAGATTCTGCAAAAGCTAATGAAAAAGATGGGTTTTGGTGAGAGGTGGTGTTCTTGGATCATGCAATGCATTTCAACTGCTTCTATTTCAGTTTTAGTGAATGGGTCTCCTACTGAAGAGTTCTCTATTGCTAAAGGATTGAGGCAAGGTTGCAGTCTTTCTCCTATTCTGTTTAATGCGGTTGGGGAATTATTTCACTGGATGTTGTCGAAAGCAGTGGATTTGGGCCTTTTCCAAGGGTTATCTTTTGGAAATAATCAAAACACATTTAATTTGTCTCATCTGCAGCTTGCAGATGATTTAATTATCTTTTGTAGAGACTCAATTACCTAGATTAAGAATGTTAGAAGAGTTTTGAGGATTTTCAGATTATTGACGAGGCTCCAACTAAATTTGGCTAAAAGTAAACTGTATGGGATTAATGTGGAGAGTGACATCCTGGATGACTGGGCAAGAAATATTGGATGTTCTGTTGATTCGTTTCCCACAGTTTATTTAGGCCTTCCTTTAGGGGCGAAAAGGAACTCGGAAAAACTATGGGAGCCGGTCATTGAAAATTTCAGCAAGAAACTGACGGGTTGGAAAGCTAACTCTCTATCTATAGCTGGTAGATTGGTACTTATTAAATCGGTTTTATCATCCTTACCTATCTTCTACCTTTCGATTTTTAAGATGCCTACTACTATTTCTTACCGGTTAAATTCCATGATGTCGAATTTCTTATGGGGTAGAGGGGATGTAAAGAAGAAAATGCATTGGGTATGTTGGGATAAAATCTGCAAGCCGTTGAGTGGTGGAGGCATGGGAGTGGTTGATTTGAATATTTCAAACCGAGCATTATTGGGTAAGTGGATTTGGAAATTTGCTAATGATAAAAACTCGTTGTGGAAGAAGTTCGTTTGTTGTAAACACAATGTGAGCTGCCATTCCATGAATATAAACAAGGTTATCTCTCAAAATGATTCTTGGGTTTGAAGGGGAATTGTGAACAATTTCATTAAGGATGATTCCATTGGAGGTTGTCTTAGATCTCATGCAAAGCTTCAAATTGGGAATGGGAAATCGATATCTTTTTGGAGTGATACATGGCTTGGGGAGTTTCCTTTGAAAATTCTTTTTCCCAGAATTTATGCCCTTTCGTTAAATAAAATGGGCAATGTTGCAGATTTTGGGAGTTTTGATTCAACCGGATGGGAATGGAGTATTAATACCAGGAGGAATCTTTATGATTGGAAGGTGGAGCAGTTGGTACAACTGTTGGATAGGCTGAAAAATGTTAAACTTTCTGACTCTTTGGATGATTGTTTGCTGTGGATTGGACCGGATGTGGGGTTGTTTTCTGTTAAAGCATGCAGGAAAGTTCTCTCTAGATTTAATGATGAAACGTTTCAATGGAGCAAATGTGTTTGGTTGGGATTAGTTCCTCCTAGAGTAGAAGTTTTCCTTTGGAAATTATCTCACCAAAAAGTTGAGGTTAAAGTTGAATTGTTGAGAAGAGGGGTTCCTTTAGGGGATAACATTCTATGCCCTCTATGTAATCAAGGGAGTGAATCAATCCAACATCTCTTTATTTCATGTCAAGTTACGTGGGAACTGTGGAATAAGGTTATAGGGTACTGGGGTATTCGACTAGCTCTTCCGCAAGACCCTCCATCTCTGCTCAGTTCCTGGGCTGATTTGAATCCTAAATCTGCTATGTGGAAGTTTATTCCGGGGGTTGTTTTTTGGTAAATCTGGAAAATGAGAAATGAGATAATCTTTGAAAAGAAAGAGTTGGATAGATTATCATTGTTTTTCACGGTTCGGTTAAGGTTAGCCAAATGGTATATAGCAAAGTATGCCCTAATCCCTATTCAGGTGGATTCTTTAATTGTTGATCCTTCTATGGCGGATAAACTAACAGTGTTCAATGTCCTGAACAGAGTGGGGAATTGCTGGAGTCCCCCTCCAATGGATTTTTTTAAGATAAATGTGGATGGGGTTGTTAGTTCGGTTGGAATGAATGCTGGAATAGGGGGTATTCTTAGAGATTGGAATCGGACTACACTTATCTCTTTTTCTGAAACTGTCGGTCCTACTTCTACCATCATAGCTGAGTTGAAAGCTATTAGAAAAGGCATCGACTTATTTTTTTCATCACAATGGGCTTCGAAGGGCAGACTTATTATTGAAAGTGATTCAAAGATAGCAGTGGATTGGATAAAAGATCAAGCTATAGCCCCTACTTTTCTGTCAAATTATGTCAAGGAAATTGCTTTTACTGTTTCTACTAAACAGGTTATTGTTAGGTGGATTCCTAGAGAGTGTAACTATGAGGCTGATAAGCTAGCAAAGGAAGGAATTGGGTGATTAATATCGTTGTTTTGGTTTGTTTGTAAGTCTTACAGGAAAGGTCCTATAGGAGTGTTTTATGTATTATGTACTGTGCAAGATTGGTTTTAAGTTTTATGTAATTGGTTTATTATCTATAAATTGATGTACTCTTTTCCTCCTTCCACTAGTTGGTTCTAGCCTTAGGGCAGAGAACTACTAAGAGGGAGGTTTTTAATGAGGCATCATATTCCTATAAAAAAAAAGTGAGCCATGTACCTGAAACAAATGAAAACGATATCAACAAATGAAAAACAAACAAACAAACAAAAAGAACAAATAGTGCACATTCTAAATTGGAATATCTACTAATTGCACACCAGAATGAATATATAACAAGTAAAAAATAAATGCATTCCTAAACCAGTAAGAATTAAAATAAGAACACAGAAAAATGATCTTTAACGTAAAGAGCTAGTAAATTTTAACTTGGTAAAGCGATTACAGATACAAAGAAAATAAACGTGAGAATAGTAGGAAAAACCACAATAACTGCACAAACTGAACAAACAGCTTTGCAAAAACATCAACACTTTTTTAAGGACAAAGGTTAAGGCAAGTCAATGAAACACATCAAATAGTATTGAATGTAGTTTTCAATATGAAATATTAGTGACTCCTAGCATGGCTATAATATTATATCAAATAAGGTCTCATCAATCATAGTAAAAAATATATATTCATTTAAAATGTAGAATGCAACTAGGTGTCATCAATCACAATAAAAAAATATTTTCATATCCATTCTCTAGGTCTTGGTATTCAACAAGTGAAAAAAATAAAATTTAAATATAGCTGGATTAGTACGAAAGTTCTAGAAAGAACCTGATCTATATCATCATTACTATAAATGCCATATCTAAATGTCTGGCTTAAGTTATTCGCTAAGGCTACAACATCATAATCCCTATCTTGGTAATCATCATCATCACTATCTCTGTTTCGATCATGTAGAGCAGTTGGCCTCCTGCTAAAATAGATAAAACCAAATTAAATTATATTTGAAAGAGTATTAAACATTATATTTGGCAAAAAAGGTCAGCTGGTAGCAAACACTTGAAACTTCTATGCATTTCCCTTGTATGTGTTTCACTATTTGTTTGCTACTAAACATTTCAAGTAGCCAAAATCCCATTCAAAACCTTTCCTTTTTTTGGCATGACACTCAAAATCATTCAAGCTCTTCAGCCTGGTGACTGAAGTAATTCGAGATAAAATGACTGAAATCAATTCGCGAGGAGTTAAGAACCATCTTAAAACGTCAAAACCCCAATACTTAAATCAAGGATTTTTTTAATAAAAATCAGGAATCATAACTACCACAAAAATACAATTGTCAAAACAAAGCTTCCATTGATATTATAGAAAACAAGCCCAATAGCACACAACAGGTTTCTACATTAAAATACCTACACTAATTATCAGGGAAATAAGCAAACAATTTTACTGCATAGAAACATTGATTAGAAAATCAAGGCTTATGTAGGAATTGATTTTAAAACCCAATATTTAGATCAATCACCAATAAATAAACTAGTGATTTTGTTCTTCTAGTTTGTTTTATTCCATTAATCTTCATCTATTTCATTCAGGATATTTTAGCAGAAATTTATAGCAAATTTGCCAACTAGTTAAAAAAATTGCTTTCAGTTAAAAAAAAGTTCCTCAATCAAGTCAAATAAAATATTTACCATACCTTAACATGCAGCAGGAACGGCAATGTTTTCCGCAACAACAAACATATGACAACCTAGCAAGAAAAACGAATATGAAACATGCTAACATAGATAACAAGATATCCAAAGTCCCTTGTATACAAATATGTGAATTCCCGAAAGTTCAAAAAAAATACCTTGCTGAAGTACCCAGCCAATGGTGTACTATTGGAGTGACTCGAATCCAAAAAGGAAAATAACAAATTCATTAACTACAAACAAACAAGCACCAGTAGAAACTTACATTAATATAGACAATGTACAAATTCAAATACAGGGGAATAAAAGGGTCAACTTCTTACTTTCTCATCTTCTACCAATGTTTTTAGTATTTTATTTATTTTTCATAGGAATAGGAGATCTCATTAAAAACCTCCCTCATAGTTGCCTCTTGAAAAGAGGCAACTAGCGGAAGGAGGAAAAGAGTACCTCAATATATTAATAAACCAGAATTACATACAACTATAATTTACAACATCACCCGAAATAAAATACCAAACATAACCACTAACACTAAGGACATTCAACCTATCCTCTCCTTAGCTAACTTGTCTGCCACCCAATTACAAGCCCTATGAATCAACCTAACCATAATATCCCTACCAGAAATTACATCCCCAATTTCCCGAACCAAAGAACTGAAGACCGAAGTAGCCTCAGAAGGCCTGAAAATCCAATCCACTACAGTTTTACAATCATTTTCGAGAATAAGTCTTCCCTTCAACGCCCAATCCGAATGTATAAATAGATCAATTCCTTCTTTAATGGCTTTTAACTCAGCAAACAGAGGAGGACCAGGTCCGACAGGCTTAGAGAAATAGATCACGGTAGAGCCATTCAAATCTCTCAACAGACCTCTAATTCCACCCTGCAAACCATCATTTCTAACAGCCCCATCCACATTGAATTTATAAAAATCAGGTGGAGGTGGATACCAGCATAGATCCTTCTTCTTCTTGTGAAAATTGACTGCTAAACCATCTGCAAGCCTTGGATCTCCTATTAATAAATCTACCTGGATGTTAGCTTTAGGAAATTTAGCTAGAAGCCATTTGGCTAACCTGAATCTACAAATGAAGAAAGTGTAGAACTCTCAAAATTCCATTTTTCAAACACCACTAAGTTCCTAGACTTCCAAATCGACCACATAACAACACCCGGGATGAAATTCCAAATATAAGAAGAAGCCTTCAAAACAGACCATGAACTAAGTAGAGACGGGGGATCTTTGGGCAGAACAGTATTAACCTCCCATAAATTGATGAACAGATTCCACAACTCCCAAGCAACATGACAAAACATAAATAAATGGTGAATTGTTTCTTCCTCCTTTTGGCATAAAGGACATAATAACTCTTACAAAGGAACACCTCTTTTCTTCAATTCCACTCTAACAGCTCCAATCCAGACCAAACCCATTTTTTCCACTGAAAATTTCCTCCAGAGCTACGAATAAGAGTTGATCTACAGGCCTTAACTGAGAACAAACCATCTCCACTCCCTGACCAAGTTAGAAAATCATCAACAGCATCAGTCAAAACAATATTATCAATCAAAGTCATTAGAGATATCCATTGATCCAATTCCCAATCGCATAAATTCCTCCTCAGACAAATATTCCAACTCCAACAATTATTATCATAGCAGCCAAAGTCCACAACTTTCCCTGTTTTGTTAATCGATAAAGCATAAATCCTAGGAAATTGTTCTTTTAAGGTGAAATTATTAGCCCAAATGTCATTCCAGAATTCGATTGATCCATCATTCCCCACTTGGATCTTGGAATTGGACCTCAAACAATTCCCAATATCGTCCTTTTTCTCATAATTATTCACAATTCCTCTCTATATCCATGAATCTTGCGAGTTAGCAACCTTATTAATTGAAAGAGACATATTACTAATATTGTGCTTGCAACATATCATCTTCTTCCACTGAGAATGTTTATCATTTGCAAACTTCCAAACCCACTTCCCCAGAAGCACTCTATTTGCCATCGACAAATCCAGGACACCCAAACCACCCTCCTCTTACGGTTGACACACAATTTTCCAATTCACCCAATGAATCCACTTCTTCAAGGGATCGTCCCCCAAAGGAATTTAGCCATCAGAGAATTCAGCTTTTGGTTAATCTTTAGAGGGATTTTGAAAATAGAGAGGAAGAAAATTGGCAAGGACGACAAAACAGATTTCACTAACACTAATCTCCCTTCCATCAATAATGATTTTGCTTTCCAACCCTCTAACTTGCTATTGAACTTCTGTAGAACTGGTTCCCACAACATATCCGAATTTCTGTAAGTACCTATCGGTAAACCAAGGTATGTCATAGGAAGAGCCCCCACACCACAACCTGCGATCGTAGCCCATTCCTTTATAACCTCCTCATCCATATTAACTCCAAATAACTTGCTCTTAGATAAATTAAGTTGGAGGCCTGACATTAAACCAAAAGACCCTCAATACTCTCCTAATATTCATAATTTGGGCAGAAGAGTCCCTATAGAAAAGTATTAAGTCATATGCGAATTGTAGATGCGTCAAATGAAACTTATTTTCCGCCCTACCAACACTAAACCCTTCAAACAGAGCAAAATCAACAGCCTTAATCAACATTAGATTCAATAATTCCCTAACAATATTGAACATCATAGGAGACAAACTGCAGCCTTGTCTCAACCCTTTCCCCATCTTGAATTCATTAGTCGGAGAACCATTGACAAGAACAGAAATTGAAGCAGAGGAGATGCACAAATCAATCCAAGAAATCCACCTATCTCCAAAACCCATAATTCTCAGAAGTCTCAACAAGATCGACCATTCCACCGAATCATAAGCCCTTCAAAAGTCCACCTTGAAAACAACACCTTTCCTCTATTTTTTACTCCAATCATCAATAACTTTATTAGCCAAAAAGGCACAGTCCAGTAGCTGCCTTCCGGGAATGAAGACGAACTGAGACGGACTAACCAGAACATTAATAACAGCCGCAAGCCTTCTAGCTAGGACTTTGGAAATTATTTTATACAGACTGCCAACTAAGCTTATCGGTCTGTAATCTTCTATACCTTCAGGATTTCTGATCTTTGGAATCAACGTTAGGAATGAATGATTGACTCCATGCTCCCAGTTTCTTCCATTATAAAAGTCTTCGAAAAATTTCATAATATATGACTTCAGAGATGGCCAAAATTTCTTAAAGAAACCCATGGTGAAACCGTCTGGCCCCGGTGTTTTGGCACTATCCGAGTGGAAAACGGCCTCCCACACTTTCTGTTCTGAGAATCTAACTTCAAGAAGCTTCTTTTGATCATCTGTCAATTTAGCAAAATTCAAATCAATTTTGTCCACCTCTATAGTTGTTACCGAGTTAAAATTATCCTTGAAATAATAAAAAACAAAGCCTCTCAACTGATCCGGGTCTGAAACAACATCCTCAGCTACCTTCAATGAAGAAATAGTGTTAAACCTATTCCTATTTAAAGTACACATGTGAAAAAACTTTGTGTTTCTATCCCCCTCAATACTCCATTTCACTATTGACCTCTGTAACCAAATGCTCTCCTCCTTCCTATGCAAATTCCACAGCTCCTTCCTCGAAACAACCAGCAATCATATTCTTGAAAAGAAGTCCTCTCTTCCTGTAGATTCAATTCCAGACCATTAATTCTGCCTTCTAATTCAGAAATATCATCGGAAAATCCCCTGTGATTATTCCTTGGCCAATTCCTAATAGCCTGCTTAGTTCCTCTAAGCAGTGAAAACAGACCCCTACCACCAATACCCTTCCTTAGATTTGATAATGAAGATTCCACCACCCCAGCAAACCCATCTTCCTCAAGTATGTAATTATAGAACCGAAACGGCTTAGGACCCCAATTATTGCATTCTTCTACCAACAAAATTGGATTGTGATCCGAAAGGGATTTAGGAAGCATTTTTTGGATCACATTTGGGGACTGATTTAAAAATGAGCCACTAATCAAAAATCTATCCAGCCTTACCCAAGTAGGTGACTCTCTTTATTGCACCATGTAAATCTCCCCTACTAGCGGTAGATCCATCATATTTGATGACTGAATAAACGACCTAAGCAGATCCATAGAGTGCCAATTCTGAGTAAACCCATATTTCTCCTCATGGTCTAGATAAGCATTAAAGTCCCCCCAAGCAGACCGGCAAGTTGATGCTTTGAACAACACACAAAAAATCCCTAAAAAATTCCTCTTTATCAGCCTCTACTGATGGAC